GCGGACCCAAGCTGTTATTGACTATGGAAATGGTTCAATGTTTGGTGAGTAGAACATGAAGCGAGCAAAGAAATGCCAAAGGCCGCCCCGCGCTGGCTTTATCGCCGAGGCCACACAGTCAAACGGGTAACGCCATGGTGCCAACGGCTAAAGAGACACTGAGCAGCTGATGCACTCGATACCGTATTTCCGCTGCAACTATGAACCAACAGTCAGTTTTGGGGAGATCAGGGTAACATCAGAAATTCGCCTGCCTAATTCTGGAGCCTTGGAGCCAACAAATCGCTGCTGCGGATTGGACCCCGGCTGAGGCATTTTTGCAATGAAGAAGTCGGACCACGTCGCGAGGAAACATGTGAATCCGGTTGGTCACCAACAGAGTCGGACCACCTTTAGCGGAGCAGATTATACGAGCTTGAGTTCCTGTTCTCCAACCTACCCCCACTGATTGCTGGAATGCTGCCTTCTGGCAGTTGATTCTGTGTACTGTTGGATGCTCCTAGGCATCCTACCCCTATTATGCCTGAAAACACCATTACATGCACCGAACTGGGTACTTCCAGAGGTTTCCCACCGCCAGTTTTCCACCCCCTTCTCCGTTCCCCTGCCAACCCCAATGCTTCATTCGCCAAATTCTCTTCAAGAGGCCCTGTCATGTTCTTCTTCTCCGAAGCTCCATGGCATCATAATGCTGATAAGCTCCATGTACCCGTCTTTTAGGTGCACGCTGAGACCTGCGCTTTCGCCTCAAATGTCACAATATACAATCAGTTGAGTGCCTAGTCCCCCGTGATAGGTATACAAGACTTCTATTTAGCAAAATCAGCTGGCCGGTACCGCGGGGAGAATACTCCACAAGTGATCCTTGGTCCCATTATCCTCAAACTGCACGATATCCGCGCCATTAGCAGTCGACATGCCATCCACGCCAACAAAGAGACCGCTATTCTTATTCTTGAGCAAGAAAAGGCCGTTCCCTTGGGAGACGACTCGCCAAAGATGGTCGCTAGTGCCGTTATCTTCATACTGCTGAAGCACAGCGCTATTAGCAGTTGACGCGCCCTGCACGCCCAGCAAGAGACCACTATTGAGGTTCCTGATCTTGAACCAGCCGCCCGGGGCGCGCACAAACTCCCACAGGTGGTCGCGTGTGCCGTTGTCGTCGTACTGCTGGATGTTGGCGCTGTTGGCCGTCGACATGCCGGCAACCCCCATGAGCTTGCCACTGTTCTCGTTGCGCAGCTGGAACACGGCCGGGGTCCAGACTTCAAACTCGGACAGCCCCCAGCCGTTTCCGGCACCTGGGTTGGGTGCGATCACGCGCAGTTGCGAGGTGACGATGGTCGGAAAGGTGATCTTGGTCTGGCTGTTGGAGGTAGCAGCGGACATGGACCCCCCGCTGCGTTGCTGGTCAGGCACCGTGAGCCAGGCGTTGCCGGTCCAATACTGGAGGTCGTAGCTGGCGGGCCGCCGAACGCCACCGCCGTCGTCGTAAAAGTACAACCTGACGTCCGACACGGCCTGAGGTCGCCGGAGGTCTAAAGCGAAGTAGTCTCGCGCATTGGGACTGCCGTAGGAGGTCCAGCGGCTGTTCTCTGGGATTCCAGTGCGCCAGATAATGCCGTCGATGGCTCGCCAGACGTCGTCGTACGGAGAGGTGTAGGAGGCAGAGGGCGTGGTGCCCTGGGGGAACTTTTGGCCATTTGCGGCGATGTTGACCTGGGAAGAAATCGTCTGGGCCACAACGGGCCCGACATTGACTGTCAGAGACCCCAAAGTGCTACGGCTGCCGGCGAGGCTGCCGTCGACATATACCCGCAGGCCTTGGCCCTGGCCATAGTAAGACCCGGTGCTGTCCCACAGAACGGTCACGCTATGGCCGTGGTAGGCAGCGTTCTCGAGTGCGAAATGGTCCCATGAGGACGGCGCCAATGGGTTCACCACCAAGGTGTCGTCAGGCTGAGCACGCAGGCCGATGAGGCCGGCGATGATGTTGTCCACAAAGGTGGAATGGTTGTAGTCCTCGCTGTGGTCGTGGGTGTCATACATCCAGACATCTGCATCAGGATCATGCGCCTCGGCCACATAGGGCTGCCCGTTCTTGTATTGTGTCGCAGCGTACCCTCTCAACAAGCTGAGGTAGTCTGCCGCGGAAAAGTACGTCTGCGCAGGATAGTCGTTCAGCAGATTTTCCACCGCCGTCAACGTCTGTGAGGTGGCAAAAGGCCACGAGGGTCCGTCCCATCGGCAGCACGTAGCGGCTTCGTGCATATACCACTTGCTGCGGCGCTCAGCCGTCGTGGGCCCATACCTGGCGGAAAAGCCCTGGGGGTCCTTCAGCTGCGCAAAGGCTGCCGAGTGACTGGCGGCCGTGGGCAAGTTGAACATCCACGGCAGATAGCCCATGATCTCGCGCGTCGTCAACAGCGCTCCAGACGGATTATTGTCACGGGCCCTGTGCTTGTAGAAGTGGGCGTTCGTGTCCCACAATATCTGCTGCACCGCCTTCTGCAACGCATCAGCGCGCTGTGTGTACTCCGTGTTGAGGTCCCGATTGCCGGCTAGGGCGGCAATGGCGGCAATAGCGCGCGCATCACCATACTGGTACGAGTTGATGGTCGGTCGGTAACCCGCACCGCCATGGTACGGGTCGCTTGACTCGTACGACGCAGCTGTGTACTCGGTGGCGTCCCAGACCGGAACCTGCCAGTACAGCCCAAGGGAGCTGTTGAAGTGGTTGTCCCATCCACGGTACTGCTTAACCAGGTTTTCCAGCTGGCCCACGACAAAGTCGCGATCGCCTGTAGTCAGATACTGCCGCCAGAGGGCCGTCGCAGCCCAAAAACTGTACTCGTGGGCCCAGTCGCGAGTATCGGCGTTGACATTATCTGAGGTGGGCTTGGAAAAGGTGCCGGGACCGGATAGCCAGTAGTTGACTATGTCCTGGCCGTACTGGTGGTTGCGCAGCCAGCGGCTCTCGGTTATGTGATGGCCGGCAGCGGCTACCACGCCGCCGTAGGGGGCGCCGTAGTCAACTGGGTGCAGGAACTCGCTTGCCATGTACCCGTACTGGGCACCGGTGTAAACGAGATGCTCCTTGTAGGTTTGGCAACGGTAGTAGTACACTGCTTGGATTTGGGCGTCAGGGACGTCGAGAAAAGGGATGTTTTCTTCGAACCAGTCTGGATCTTCACGGCCGGTCAATAGCGAGGTGTGGTTGAGGAAGTTGGTTCCCAACGCTGCTATGGGTCGGGAGAGTAGCGTTAGGGCAAAGACGACACTCATGCCCATGCCCACGCCGCTTGGGGCATGCATGGTAGGCATGAGAATTACTTTCACCGACTGCTGTGGAAGTGGAAGATATGGAACGAAGACAAAGATGAGCGAAAGGATCTGTTAAATTGAAGATACGGAGAAGGGAATAAGGGAGTGAATGAGGTTCACGAGGTTATGAACATGACCTGTGTGGGAAACGATAGGATGTCGACAAGACTGGCACGATGATAGCCGTGTTCAACTTTCAACAGATGCCGTGGATGAATACGGGGTTTAAGAAACAGTCAAGACATTTAGAGTTACCTACGTGTAGCAAGAGAGGTCGACAAAGACATACCGGGATTCAAAAAGACATTATAGGTACGGGGGATAGAAGAGGCCAGGAGGTTCGTACCTCTATGATCAGAATCGAAGAGGGACCCCAAGCTGACCGGAGTCCACCTCAGCATGAGATTGATCTACCCCATCTCGCCACGGCGGACGTAGTTACGACATCAATCCCCAGGGATAATAACTGCCTGCCGCCTTTCAATGTCGGAGGTAGTAGGTGTACCTACTTAACTCCAGGCGGTCGGTTTCCTCGGTTCGCCAGCGAGATTCGATGCGGGAGTTGCATGTTGGAGGCAGAGGTGAGATCAGGGTGTCCTTGAGATCCTCCAAATGAGCCGGCCGCCCCTGTTCTTTCCTAGTCTCTATCACTTAACCTCCGTCGACAACGCTTCAGCGGACCCGCCCCACAAATATGTGGGTCTCCCCTCCTCGAACTTTTGTGCTAGGTAGGGTGGGGTGGGTTTTGGAGGTTAAGTGGGTCTGAGAACTGAGACTATTCTTTCCCCGTACTTGTCCAGACCCATGCCGCTTACGGAGACTAGAGGTACATACGCCACATTACTTACTGCCTGTGTCGTGAGGTTTATGTCACAGGTAGACGTTGAGATCTCCGGGGAAGCTAGAGGTATTTACATCTGTGGGGTTTCATGTGAGAGCAATGGGCATATAATACTCGGATTTACAATAATCTAAGCACAAGGTAGTATTTCCGGTTCCCTACCAGGTATTGTGGAGAACTGGCCCTCCATCCACAAAGGTCATCATCTGCAGAGTTCTTTTTTCTCAATCTGGGGCATCTGGACCTGCGTCCCGGGCTCGACTTCCGCTGCATGATTGATTGGTGACCCTAACGATGTATGGGGTATAGGTACCTCTAGGGTGATCACTGATCCGTACCAGGCGGGCAGATACCTCTAGGCATGTTTGGGGAGGAGGACTGCTCATTTCAACAGCGAACGCCCTTCGAATGACTATCTACCTCTAGGTAGGACCGTTGGCTGCCCAGAGTCTTACGTTATATTCCGGTCGTAGCCAGCTGTAGGTGCATACCTGTCGTTGTATGCGTGCGACCCTGTTCCGGCAAATACCTACCTCTATCATGCGATTGAGTGCCTGCGTTCATCCATTCCGCGTCTTCTCGCCGCCATTCGTGGTTTGGAGCCTCCTTCAGACTCTTCACCAATCCTTTTGGCACGGGCTTAGGCGCTATTCTCATGGGCTGACAGGATCAATCGAAGAGGAGAAGGAATGAAACCATGTCATCCGTGATTTCAAAGCATAAGATGATGATGATTACCAATTCATAGGCTTGACCGGCGATATAGTTGTTCCTCTGAGACTGGTGAGAGAGGCATGGAGTTTAGAATACGCGGACATGAACGTATAAAGGGGACGGCAACGTCACTCTTCAACGATTCCCTCTTGCTCTCCGATCAGAGACAACATCAGCCCTCAGCTCATCTCCTCATCCATCCATCACTCTCAACGAACACACCTCAACAACAGTCTCGCACCCACACAACTAGCAACCTTCAGAAATCCTCAATCAACTTACCCCCTACGCCATCACAATGCAGCTCTCTTCCACTCTCGCCCTCCTAGCCTCCTACTTCGGCCTTTCCACCGCCCTCCACCTCCCCGACGGTGTCTGGGAAGGCACCATCCTCGCCAACGGCACCTACTCCATCAAAGCCGCCGGCGCTCCCGACAGCGACTCCTTCCTCGTTGAGCCAACCACCACCACCACCACCACCCAAAAGCGGTCCGGGCCCATTGCCAAGCGCTACGTCGGGTGCTTCGGCTACCAACTCGATGCGAGCGGCGTCGACGCCGCCGTGGTGGGCTTGAAGAACTGGGCAGGCAGTGGCCACACGCTGACGAGCGGTGACAAGAACACGTTCTTGGCGGTGTCGGCCGAGGGCATGATTGCGTACTATTGCATTGATGCGCCGAGGAGCAGCGGAAACCTCGATGTTGATGATGTCAATTATGCGCTGGCGCAGATGGACGCTACTTGCCGTCGGTACGAGGCGAGTTACTTCAAGTGGGACGGTAGCGTGGAGATTGTCGGCAAGGGTCGCGCTGGAGACAATGTCTGCGTTTGAGAAGGGGGTGAATGTTGGTGCTGGTTCGCGGACTTGGGGTTCAGAAGGGAAGTGATGTAGCAGATTTTGGGGAGTCGGTCGTTATAGTTTGAGGAGCTTTGTCGGAATGGGAACGGTCGTTACCTACCTGTACTGTTTGATGTTTGGCGGAATGGAAAGAAAGGGTCGCGTGTTAGTTTGTCTAAACTCGTCTGGTTCATTCACTCTCTCCCACTTTGGTTGAAAGAAAATATGGAAAGGAATTACCACTTGTTGATCTGCCTCAACTTCACAGACATCGCCTCCGTGACCTTGAATACCCCCCGTAGTTCCTTCTCGGAGACATACCCGTTGTAGACATATCTGTAGACCTCGAAGAAGGCCTTGATGTTGTTCGGGTAAGTAGTAAGCAGCTTACTATGGTAGACATCAACTCTACCACGCTGCCTGCTAACCAATCAAAAGGCCGCGGCGATGCAGGACGGCCCGGCCCCTTTGAGCGCCACTCAGCTCGGGAGGATTTGTTAGGTAATCATCCGCCCGCCTGGCGCTCAAGGGGGTACTCATCTCTGTAGCAAGCTCTCCTGAGGCCCTGCTAGGTCTGACCCCTCACCGGTTTCCGCTTTCTTACCGGAACGGCGAGATCGCCATGACTGCTTGAGAGCCTGCTTGAAGTCGTGTTCGTTGTCACAATCCCGACATTACCTCCCGCTTCTCCTCCTTCCTTACCCGTCAATGAAACAGCTTGTGTTCCTCTTTTCAGATGTTCTCACCCACCGCAAAAGAAAGCTAGTTATGCCCTAGATGACGAACCATTCGGAATGCAAGGGCTTCACCTCCAATTTCTCCCCCAGCAAGGCTCGTTGATGTAGGTGCTCCGGAGAACATGAGAAAGAGACACTTACACGACCGCGCATCTTCCATCCCCAACGCGACTTCTCAATCACCGGCCACGATCCCACATCTCACTCACTCACTCACTCACTCATGAGCCTTGACCGAATCAGTTTTGAGGCTTACAACCAAAAAATATCGATGGCTAACAGGAGCTTTGGTCTTTGGCCCTCGCTCTGGAGCTTTCGATAGTGTCCGCAATGTCATCAATGTTTCCGGCAGGACGACCACCGGTATGCGGCAAGAAGAAAGTTGGATCCTGGCCCTGAAATGGAACGTACAGCTGTACGAAGTGTATGCCCCCGTTGACTTGGGTTTGATCTGGAACGACGACGACGACGACGATGGAAGTATCTATTCGAGAGAAGAGGTGTACTGCTCGTTGGAAGTCGATCATTTCGCACGGAGGGTTGAGCGACGAGCTCTTTAGCTGGGGTTCATGGTTGCTGTTCAGTTCTGTTCCATATCGCCGACGGGAGTCGAGAGGTGGGAACACACTCGGGGCCCGCTTGCCATTACAAGAAAGAGGAAGAGACGGTGATGTATCTGTGTTGATGCGCTGCAAAGCATGGGCGTACATCGTGCAATTGCAATGTTAAAGGAGGGAAGGCGTGCCCAACGCATGGCTTACATATGCGATGAGTGTTGTCCGCGTCCATATGACCCGCGTCTCTTGTGTTTCTGGAGCATATGGGGCTCGGAAGCAAGGTACCACCAAAAGGGTACTGGGGTGGACAGAAGCTTCTTGATCAACGGTCAGGGAGGCAGAATAAGATACAGCTCGTCTTTGAAGTGACTTCCAAGTACTTACCTAGGCACAGGTCGTGTTGGTCCCCGGCTTTCCTATCCCGTATCCCTGGTTGATCTCCTTATAAGGTAGATACCAAGGTACTTGGGCACAAAAGCATGCACTCTATCTCGTGCCTATTCACTGATTGCCGGCGTAGGAGTAATTGGGGGTTTCACTTGAGAGAGGGTTCATAATAGTCAGTCAGACATCTTCATCCTTCGAAGCATATGTAGGTGTTCCAAGCAGAAAAGATACCCTGTGATAAGATTCCCGTCTTCGGTTCTCGATTGGTCTCAGGTTTCTCGCTGATGCAACCACCTATCTTACTGTACCTCAAAGAGGTATTCATCCCGTAAGCTCCTCAATAGGTTGCGGGGAGACGTTTAGGACCTCGCAAACAATTTACCTTATCAGCAAGAAGGTAACATGAAGTCTTGGTTGCGGGGCAGATTCAGGGGAGTTGACGCCATCAAGGTGATATTGCATGCTGCCGAATGGAAGAACCCACGATGATTGGGCAATAGGTGACAGTCCTTCGTACTGCCCTGTGGGTTATGGTAGCAATGGGGATATTGGTGTAGTGGTCGATTGTCAGTCGAAACACCACAAGACACCAGTCGTGACGACGGCAGAGAAGGTGAACGAATCCGGTGGTACTCTGTATGACATGAAACCCAGTGAGTTGCTCACAAGGTGGTGTGGATGATGACAAAACACTCCGCCTGGGCCATTGATCATCGGCGGCCGATGCGGCCGCTGACCGCTGATGAACTCGGAATTTTGCCTGTTGTACCTGTAAACTCCAGACTATGTTGATTGCCAAGAGTCAATGTTCGACAAGAAGAAGAACCGGATGGTTGAGTTTCATTGATGGTAACATCCAGATCGGGCAGTCGAAGCGATGTTTGCCCCTCCCCTTGTGTCCCCAGGCTTCATCATCCTTGCTCACTCTCGTCCTTTAAAAGTGGTTGAATCCCCCCTCCCCGGCAGTTTCAACCTCAAGCATCAACCGGCAGGACCATCTCGACATTGTAGGAATCTAATATCGAGCCGTCAGTCATCAATCCACCTCGTATCACGAGCTTCACCCATATACACCATCCAAGATGTCGACTTCAGTAAACATCAACGGTGTTGAGTTCCAGCCCAGGCTTCTCATCAACGGCGAGGTAGGTTACTCTTGTCACACCCTGATGAACGAGCAAGGCTAACAAACACCCAACTGCCAGTTCGTCGAAGCCTCCGACAAGGGTACCTTCAACGTGTTTAACCCGGCCACCGGCGAGATCTCGTGTAAGGTCCCTGAGGCCACCGAAGACGATACCAACCGTGCTGTTGCTGCGGCAAAAGCAGCACAACCCGCATGGGCTGCCCTCGACCCTACCAAGCGCGGTGCCTACCTCAAGAAGCTCGCCGCCTTGATCCGTGAGCACAAGTCGACCCTCCACCACCTCGAGGCCATCTCCATGGGCGTGCCCGTCAACCACTTCTTCCACGCTGACTTCGGCGCCGATGAATTCGACTACTTTGCCCAAGCATGGCCGCACATCCAGGGCCAGTCCAGCGTCAACACGCCCGGCTACGTGACCATGACGTTCCGCCAGCCCTTTGGCGTCGTTGCCTGCATCATCCCCTGGAACGCGCCCCTGTACTTATTCGCTGCCAAGGCCGCTGCCGCTTTGATCACGGGTAACACTGTGGTCCTCAAGTCCTCCGAGAAGGCTCCCCTCGCCGTCGCCTATGCCGCGGAGCTTGTCGCCAGGGCCGGTTTCCCACCTGGCGTCTTCAACATCCTCTCCGGCCACGGCCTTCCCTCCGGCCGCTGCCTTGCCCGCCACATGGACGTGCGCGCCATTTCCTTCACTGGCTCTAGCCGCACCGGCAAGTTGATCCAGGAAGAAGCGGCCAAAACCAACCTTAAGAGCGTTACGCTCGAACTAGGCGGCAAGTCCCCTGCCATCATTTTTGACGACGCCAACATCGAGCAGGCGCTCACCGATACCATGTCGAGCATCCTTCTCAACGCGGGCCAGATCTGCGTCGCCAACTCGCGCGTGTACGTCCAAAAGAGCGTAGCGCCCAAGTTCATCGAAGCCTTCACGAAGCGCATAGCCACTATTCACGGCGGTAACCCGCTAGACCCGCAAACGCAGATGGGTCCTCAAGCGGACGAGGTCCAGTACAAGAACATCTTGTCCTACATTGAAGAAGGCAAGAAGAGCGGCAAGTTGGCCGTTGGTGGCAAGGGCAGGCTGGACGAGACGAAGGGGTACTTTGTGGAGCCGACGGTGTTCCTTGATACGCCGGAGGACGCCAAGATCATGAAGGAGGAGATCTTTGGGCCAGTGTTGAATATCAACACGTTTGAGACGGAGGAGGAGGTGGTGGCCAAGGCGAACGATACCGAGTATGGATTGTGGGCGGCCGTGTTTACCAATAATCTTAGTAGGGCGATGAGGATGGCCAAGGCGCTGGAGAGTGGCTATGTCAGTATTAACTGCTCGAGTCCGTCGATGGGGAGGGATTTGCCGTTTGGGGGGTATAAGGGGAGTGGGCAGGGGCGGGAGGGGAGGTTGCACAGCATGAATCACTTTTTGGAGGTTAAGAGTGTTATTATCAAGCTGGATGAAAAGGCTTCCTCACAGTGGAATATGTAGAGGGAGAGATTGGTGGTGATGATGGAGATACCAACGCGGAGGAAAATAAAACGGAATATTTAATCGGATGTGTTTTGAAATGGTAATGTGAATAAGTGTTCTTGCGCTATCAGATCCCACCCATTCTGCCGTGATTCCAGCACCTTTCCTGTTAAGTGACTAACTGGACACCACCCGCTTCACCTCTTCCGCATGCACCAGCTCGTCGCCCTTCTTCTCCCAATTGACACTGTTCTTGTCCCACTCGTTTGCAACACCACCACCACCACCACGACCAACACACACAGACTTGCGAAACTTCCTCGCCGGTAACCGCGCCTCGAACATTTGGTCAATCTCCTCCAGGGTACGGCCCTTGACTTCTGGTAGGTAGAAGTACACCCAGAGACTACGCGCGCTCTTCTCGTTAGCGCATCGTCAACTGATCGGGGGACAGGGGAACACTCACGCAGAAATCCAACACGATGGCGTCCAGATATACCCATATTTCGGCCCCCAGTTCATCGACTCGGGGTTGATAAAGTACGGCGCCGTAAACGTCGTCAACCAAGCCGCAAAGAATCCAATCGCTGTCGCCAGCCCGAACGTGTACGACCGCAACCTCTGCGAAGGGAGTTCGCCGCCCGAGATCCACGCGTACGTCGCTACCATGCCGTTATACCCCAGGATATAGACAACAGCGAGTCCAACTATGGCTTGGCCAGTGGACTTGGTGCCCGGCTTGACGGTATACACAACGGCTATAAGGAGCTGGGCAATACCGCAGAGGATCAGACCGCTGATGAGGAAGACGCGCCGACGACCAAAGTGCGTGACCATAGCCGAGTTGACGAGGATAGCCACCACGCCAAGGGATGTCAAGATGACGTGGTTCTCGAACGGCTTGCCGATACCAGCCATCTTGAAGAAATAAGTGCCGTATGCTGTTGCTCGTCAGCCATCATCCATCACCACCACCACAAGGTTATCATGAGTCAAACATACCAATCATATACATAGCACCTGACGCCCCTTGCACCGACAGCCCACAAACCGCCAACACCGTCCGTCTCCTATTCACCGGATCCCTAAACATATCCCACACACTCGCCCCCTTGACCGTCTCCCCCTCCGCCGCCAGCGCCAGCTGAATATCCTTGATCTCCTCCTCCACCATCCGATCCGTATACGGGCGATGCCACCTTAGACTGCTTCTCGCCTGCTCTTCGCGTCCCTGCATCATCAACCACCGTGGACTTTCAGGAACCGCAAAGAGTCCCACACTAATCACCACAGGAAACACAAAGATCAACCCCAGTGGGATCAAGTAACTATCCCTTCCATCAATCTTCTCAGTAAAGTTATCCACCACCCCGCCAATCACTGTACCTACGCTCGTCCACACCTGAAAACTGGAAATCATCAGTCCGCGATACCGAGCTGGCGCTACCTCTTGGATGTACAGCTGCGAAAAGGTCATGTAGAACCCGTTTGCTAGACCAAGTAACAAGCGGCCGGCGTAGAGACCGCCGATGGAGGTGGTGGCCATCATGATGACGTTGGAGACGATACATAGCAAGGAAGCAGCCCAGATGGTTTGGCGACGGGAGAGGAAAGTGGCGGTGGGGCCGGCGAGAGAGGAAGACAAAAAGGCGCCGAGGGTCATGAGCGAGGAGATTAGTTGTTGTCGGGAGGGGGAGATGTTCCAGCCGCCGGCTACGTGGGGGGCTGGGTGGCCGAAGACCTGTTGATGTTAGTGTCTCTTGGTGGTGAAGTGGGAATGAAGAGGAGGATGGAAGAAGGGGCTGAGGTTGTTTAAGGTACCTTGAGAAAACCAATCATGGCTTGCAACCCGCCGATTAACCCAAAGTCGAGCCCATATTGGAAGGGACACATGGACACTAAAGTGCAGGCCGCGAGACACTTCCAATGGGCTTTGATGCCGTACTTCTCTTCGACTTCGGCGGTGATGGCTACGGGCATGTCGACGGGATGTTCGACGTCCTTCTCTGCCATGGTGGAGGCTATCTCTTTGGCGGACATGGTTGGTGTTTTCTCGCACTCTGACCGATGGACAAGCACTCGATCAAGAGGGAGCTGGGAGTTGAGATCAAGTCAAGCTAGAGTTGCAACCTTGGGGGGGATAGTGGGACGATTCCAACGTCGATTGCGTGGGGAATTAAAGGGGTTCCATGGTCTGGAGAGGAGAAGGAATGAAGACCACGTGCGAACGTACGACTACCGTTGGTGATCAACACTCATACGGCATCGACACGGCATCCAGAGTTCCAGACATCCAGACCGTGGCGGCAAGATTCACCGACGGCACAGTTCTTTCTTTTCGAATGTGAAGGTGTAGTCTTCATTTCGAACCGGTCAATCCCGCACTACTGCACAAGAATTTAGGAGCTCGACAACCAATGAAGATGGTCCATAAGCCGACTGCCAATACTGGCCATTCCGGCTCTAGACGCTCCTATACACACACGTCTTTGTATTCGTACTCACTTCTGATTTGCGGTCGGCCGTCTGTTAATTGATATTGACAGCCCAATTCCGCTTCTGTCCTTTCTTTCCATATGCATATGGCCACCAAACCGCCTGCACAGCTCCCGTATCTACCGTGGCTTTGTCCTCATACCAGCTCTTTCTAGGCTCCTCCACCATGGTTCATCGCCATTCACTACTCCCCCTCGGACTAAACCCCCAATGTTTGTCCAGTTTCATTCTGCCTCCTCACGGGGCGAACTTGTCCATCTCTTCAGGTCCAATTATTTCAACTACCGGCGTTTGATCAACCGTCTTTGCCGATAGCATACTTGTATGTATGTGTCTTATGTATGAGGGGTGGTACCCATCGCTTGAAGCCTAGCCGGTTAAGTGGGCACTGGCCGGTGACAGGGTGTAACGAGGTGATCTGAAGATGGGAACCATATTCGCCAAGACATAGACGAACGTTGGCCGGCAATGAACCAGCCGCTCATTCTGGATACCTACTGTACATCCGGCACGTCCTAAAGTTCGGTTGGATGGCCACCCGGTGTATGTCTTGGATGGATTGGTCCCCGTTGAGTGTGGGGTAATGGATGAGGTTGCAGCAGAACCACAGTTTGGGAGGGAGGGAACTGAACTGGGGAATGAGGGGGTGTAAGTTGGAGAGAATGGGAGTGGACTGTGTCTTTTTGAACCGTCGTTGTCGTGGTGTAGAGGAGAAGAAGCCTCAAGCGGGAATGAGGGCATCTCGATGTTTCGGATGGCACGAGGTGGACGGATACGGGGGTGATGGGAAGGTCCGAGCTGTGAGTTAAGATGTTCAAGTTCAAGGGCTTGTCTGACATTCGGCGTCATTCTTATTGAAGCTGCACATACGAAACCGAAGGGAGATGAAGAGCAATGGAAAATGTGCAGTCGATCTAGCTGTTTGCTTCCCACCTCGCAAACACAACTACATACGGCATGGTATATTCCTCCTCCCGCATTTTCCCGCATTTTCTCGCACTTCTCAACATTCCGTTGGACAAAAGCATGGCGGGACATAGATCTATAGCCGACACGGGATTCATGAGGCTGTGGGACATCACGTCAACAATAACCATCCGAACCGCAGCAATTACTCTTCCTCATAGGCGAATCAGATCCTGGCATACCCCTCTTGCTACCTCGTAACCTCCCACCCACCATCCGTAGGCTGAAAGGCTTCGTGATGGCTTGTATCAGGTCGAAAGGGATGCTATATTGGCCAAGTCAAGAATTGGGTATGACTTGATGGGATACGGCCCTTGAGTTTTTACAAGTCACTTAATCTGCATCCCAGACACTGACTGCCAGTGTCGGCCACATTTCAACAAACAACCCTTGGCCATCAAAGACGTTGTTGATTTTCCTGTTCTACAGAAGACAAACAGAAGAGTTTGCCCAACAGCGCTACTGACGGGCAAAATGCTGTCAGACAAGCTGCTAGATCTATTCGCCCTCCACAAAACGGAGGAAGCTCTGACCAATGTCAATCTCTACAAGCTCTTGGTCTTCACTCTCGCCCTAGTGCTCACCGCAATCATCATCATCGACTATGGCTACATGCTATGGCTTCGCTCCAAGATGCCTCCGGGCCCCTTCCCGTGGCCCATCATAGGCAACACCTTCTCTTTACCAGAGAACAAGCCATGGATTTATTTCGAAGAGCTCTCCAAGAAGTATGAGACGCCACTGATCACCTTTTGGATAGGCCGGTACGCTCATCCCCAACATCACCATAGGTCCTGTCACTAACACATCCCAGTAACCCAACAATCTGGATCAACGACGCCTGGTGCGCCCACGAAATCCTCGAAAAGAAAGCGCAGATCTACGCCTCCCGCCCTCGCATGGTCGTCTTCGGCGAACTCGGCACCGGCCAAAACAACCTTGTTACCATGCGCATCCTAAACAACAATGACCGCGACCACTGGCGGATTCACCGCAAGTTGATGCACCTGGGTGTCGGCATCCAGTCCGCCCGGGGGTATCGAGAGATCCAGAACAACGAGAGCAAAGTCGTTGCCTTGGATTACTTGCGTGAGCCAAAGGAATATGTCAAGCATTTGGAGCGGTATGCGACCAGTGTTGTCAGTATCATTGCGTTTGGGAGGAGAGTAGCGAGTTACAATGACCCGATTATCACGGAGGTGATTGCGTTGATGCAGTTAGCTGCTGATTTGAACGTGCCGGGGAAGAGGTTTCCCATGTTGCTTGAAACTTTTCCTTGTGAGCATCCCCCTTCTCTTTCCCCTTTCCCTCCCTCTTTCTCTCCCTGTCTGTCTCTCTGTCGATGCTAACAACCCAAACATCAAGTCCTCGCCCGCTTCCCCCGCTGGCTCCCCTTCTTCCGCGGCACCAGCTACCGCAGCGGCGGCCGCGGCGGCGGTCAAAAAGGCGGGGGTGGGCACTACTTCTTCCACTCCCTCGCCCTCGAAGCCCTCGCCCAATACGAATCCAAGTCCCCCCTCGCCAAAGCCTCCATACCCACCCCCTACATCAAAACCCTCATGGACGCCTCCCGCCAATACTCCCTTCCTGAAGCCGAGCTCTCCTCCCTCACAGGAAACCTCTTCGGCGCCGGCTCCGACACCTCCTCCTCAACCCTCATCACCTTCATGCTCTCCTGCCTTGCCTTCCCCGACGCCATGCACAAAGCCCAATCGGAACTCGACCGCGTCCTTGGCCCCGCTGGCCGCTCTCCCCACTGGGACGACGCGCCCAATTTACCCTACATTAACGCCTACGTGAAGGAAGTCCTCCGCTGGCGCTCCGTCGCCATCATCGGCGGCCAACCGCACTCTAATACCTCACCAGACTATTACAAAGGGTACTTCATCCCGCCGCATAGCTGGGTGCAGGGCAACGTGTGGGCCATCCACCACCATGAGCGCGAGTTCCCGGACCCAGACAGGTTTTATCCGGATCGGTATCTGCCGGGGAATGATCACCACCGACCGTTTCCGGGAGAAAAGGGGTACATGACGTTTGGATGGGGACGAAGGGTTTGTTCGGGGCAGGCGCTGGCGGAGCAGGGGACGTGGATTACGGTGGCGAGACTGTTGTGGGGGTTTACGATTGAAAAGTATAGAGACCCGGAGACGGGGAAGGAGGAGGAGGTGGATATCTTTGCGTATACGAATGGGCTGAATATGCGACCGCAGCCGTTTCGGTGTGAGATTGTACCGAGAAGTGAGGAGATTAGGAAGATGGTGGTCAGGGAGGGGGAGCAGGCGTTGAGGGATCTGAACGTGTTCGATGGGGAGAGTAGGTATCGGATGAGCACGTTTTACCAGCAGAAAAAGAGGGAGGTGGCGGAGATGCCCGAGTTTGATGAAAAGGGGAATATTAAGATGGTGAAGGTGAAGTGAAGGTGGTGTTTCCGGACTTGCTGTAGGCAGCTACTGGTTGTGACTAGGTTGTCGGCTGGGTTGGGATCTGTGCAGTTGGAAGAAGCTTGTTATTGACGTCTATAAAGCCGTCGTTAAAAGAAGCCAGGGGGTTTCTTTACATCGAGTGGATCCTCGTCCCCGATTATAGTAAAAAAAAAAAAAAAAATGAATTGGTCTCTCCCGCCGGGAATTGAACCCGGGTCTCGAGCGAATCGAACTGATGTTCAAGCTTGACAAGCTCACATACTGACCACTATACTACGGAAGATTCACAGTTGTTGAGCAACTGTCGTAGCTGATTGATGGGGACGAACCTTGCACCTAGTACTCATAAAGGCATGCATAATCTTGGTGTTTCGCATTTCCATTTTGGGCAACACCAAATCTCAATGCAGACAGTCTTCGATACTGTCCGCGATAATGCAATTTAATAATTCCCAATCCTTTATTCCGGTAGAGAAATGGTAGAAGCCACCTTCTAATCAAGTCGCAATTGCACGACCTTTTGCGGACGGAAATGAGCCCTCCTTGGTGACTGCCACTGCATCGCAAAGACTCCCGGAGCATGGGATGTGCAGACTACCTTACCAATATTCTGCGGGGAAGAGAGAATATACCAGCTTCTACCGTTATACTTTGTACTGCGGTTGCCCCCCTCACGAAAAAGCCTTAGTATTACGTACTTGGTCCCTTCCGTCACCCACATGCACCCGTCACAGTGTACGGTATCCTCCAGACCATAATACCCGGCCAGACTGGAATGCGGATGCGGCAGCAGGGTGAGGGGTAAGAACACCACGGCTAAAGAGAGCAATTCCAGAATGCAGCTATCATAGGTAGGCTAAAAAAAAACGATGCTGTTGGAACGCAACGCTGACTGCGTTTTGGAAAAAGGGGGAGCTTGGGGTCCGGAAACAAATTTCTGGGGTGATGGTTGACCAACCCGGCAACCCGCCTCGAGAACCGCAGTTTGTCCGGCTTTCATTAAAACACAACGATAAAAGAGACGGTAACCAAGTATTGAGACAAACACAACATTGAGCAGCTCGAGTATTGGTTTCTGGGGCACATGATTGCACATCCAAAGGAATCCCTAAGCCAGTAAGCGGGTTGGGACTTTTGGAGTTCTCATCAAGCCAATCCTCGGGCAGTAAAGCTTGTGCTCAAAGAGGGGAAAGTTGTCCTTGCCTTCAGCCAACGGAACAGATCTCAGTTACGGAAACACTTCTGCCCCCCGAAATCACTGTCCTTGGACCACGCCCCCAGACTCCTCATCCGTGCTCTTTCAAGGAAATCTCACCACTACTGCATCTCATCACAACATCACTACACCTCACCATTCACCTCCACCTCATCACTCACCTCAACACCACCTAATCCAACAACCATGCCCTCCCCATACCCCGCGCCTCCCACAGGCATCTCAATCCTCATCGTCGGCGCCGGTTTCGCCGGCCTCACCACCGCCATCGAATGCCACCGGCACGGGCACTCCGTACGAATCTACGAATCCTTCCCTACCCTCAAGTCCCTAGGGGACATCATCTCCTTTGGCGCCAACGGCGGACGCATCTTTGCGCGTTGGTCCGATGGTACCATCGCTGCCAAACTACGTTCCTTGTCCATCGATCTCACGGGATATGGATTCAGGATCCATAAGTACGATACGGGCGAGGTGGTTTACCACCAGCCGACGCCGGCGCAGAATCCGGAGGCGCCCGTGTTTAATGGACATAGAGGGGAGTTGCACCAGGTGGTCTTTGAGTATGCGCGGGATGAGTTGGGGATTGAGATTCATTTGGGGAGGAGGGTGGAGGGGTATTTTGAGGATGGGGAGAAGGCGGGGATTGTGTTGGGGGATGGGGAGAGGGTGAGTCTGTTAATTCTATGTAGCCGTTCGTTTTCGAAGTGCGGGTATTGTATTCGGAGACTTGGAAAGGATGACGACTGATGAGGTGGTACCTAGGTAACAGCCAATATTGTCATTGGCGCTGATGGCGTCCGCTCGAAAGCACGCCAGTTGGTCCTTGGGTTTGAAGATAAGCCCAAGAGCAGCGGGTATGCTGTTTGGCGAGCTTGGTATGTCACTATCATTCTCCTCCTAGGAATCAAACATCAGCTAAACGCATCAGGTTCCCAAACACCGACATGATCGCCGACCCCCGAACCTCTGAATTCTGCTCCAATGGCGACACCTTCAACGGCTGGATCGGTCCCGATGTGCACTTCCTCTTCAGCACCATCAAGAACGGTTCGGACTGCTGCTGGGTGCTCACCCACCGCGACGAGAACGACATCGATGAGTCTTGGTCCTTTCCCGGCAAACTCGAAGACGTGTATAAAGTCATCGAAGGGTGGGATCCCATTTGCAAAGCCATTGTAGAGAAAACACCCTCGCTGGTGGACTGGAAGTTGGTCTACCGTGATCCGCTGCCGACGTGGGTGAGCAAGCATGCGAGGATTCTGCTGGTAGGAGACTCGGCGCATCCGTTTTTGCCGACGAGCGCGCAGGGGGCGACGCAGGCGATGGAGGACGGGGTTACTATTGCTGTTTGTTTGAGGAGGGCGGGGAAGGAGGGAGTGCAGGCTGCTGTTAGGACTTATCAGGAGATCAGGTGCGTATTTAAACCTTGTTTTTGCCTGCTTAGAAGGGGGATGATTGCTGACACTGATGCGCAGATACGACCGCGTGAGAGCTGTGCAAAAGACTGGGGAAACAACAAGGGATAGATGGCACAAGACTGATTGGGAAAAGGTTGCCAAAGACCCAACGAGCATTGCCTTTCCTCGGGAGGACTGGATTCATCAGCATGACGCTGAGAAGCATGCTGAAGAGGTGTTTGAAGAGATTTTCATAAGGTTCACCGGCCCGGAGAAGGATAAGAATGAGTCGTTGCTTCCCAAAGAGGAGCCGGTGGCAGTTGCGTGAAGGCTGAAGAACAAGGGGAGGCGGCAAAGATAACCAAGCATTGGTATGAACCAGCACACTTTTCATGAAATGACAGTATGAACAGTGCCATCACTGCTACGCTTGACCAACCCGGCCGTGCGCACCATTTGAGGTTGATGTTTGACTTCCAATCATAAAGCTACCCGAGTAATCACACCAACTGCAAAAGTGCAAACTCTTTCCTCTTATCTCTCAAATCCCCCATGGCAACATCAATGTTCTCTTCCAACTCCTCGACACGATCAAGCCAACCAGAAATGATCTCTGTTTCGCAAAATGCTGAGAAGAGACCCATGCGGCGATAGGTCGGTAGCCAATCCCGGATGCCCAGCGACTCTACCAGCAGACCGCCTACGTATCCAGAGCAGCTGTCATTCATCATGCAGTACATCCGTAGGGGAAGAAACCTAAGGTCTTCCTGCTTGATCGAGTCGATCAGGGGTCGATCAAGGACTATACCGGTGTCGAATTTCAGAGTCCGCTCCCCGTCGATGGACAATGAGACTTCAAGACCATCTAAGGAGTCTTGGGTGGTCCACGTTTGGAGGACTTTCTCGGTATCAAATTGTTGGGCGATTAATCCGCGCAAAACGATGCGTGATCCTGTCTCGAACACCGTGTAGGTATCCCCCGGCTTGAGTGACCGCAAAGGTTGGATGGAATCAACTTCAACCAAGTCCTCAACATGGTGACCCCTACCCAAGCCCATGGTTTGGAAGAAGATCTCTGAAGGACATGAGGCCCAAGACCAGGAAGGGAAGAGGTCGAGAATCTCTCTTGCGCGAGCATTCATGTCCTCGTCGTCCTTATTCATCTCACCACATCGTTCCCAAAGTAGTTGCCGTACGAGATGCTGCTTCCACAGCCCAGCCACGCACCAGCCCGGCTCGCGCTCGGTCCACATATGCCCAAACCGGTTGAAGATACCCCGGAGAGCAACCAACCTGTCCGTCTGCTTCGTCACCTGAGTCTGGGCATAAAGCTTCACGATATTTTCCCAAGTGTCACGCGAGTCCTCGAGGAGCATAAATCGTGCTTCCAAAGCTTGCTGCCGGTGAGCGTGAACAGACATTTCCGAAAACGGATCATAAGGCCCTCGCCAGATCCACGACGGAAAGGCTTCGCTGGCCATTTGGCGAGGACATTGCCAGACAAGCTGCTCGCCGAAATAGACGGTGCGGGTGGGCAGGACGCGCTCTTGGTGGCACCATGCTCGTCTGAACAAGGGCGCAAGGTCCACAAAGCTGTTGGCACCGTAGCCTTCGAAGCAGGCAAAGTGCTCATACCGCTCCTCGTGGTCGTTGAAATCAGTGGGAAGACGATGGGATATGATGCACGGCGAGACAGCCAGCGGATCTCTTTCCGTCTTGAGACCGACGGCTCGATCCGCAAACATACCGGATAAGTTCAGGCGTGCGTGAGTGTAGATGCTATCCATCATGGATGCTTGTTCGTTCCAGTCTTGTGCAGAATCTTGGATGATGCAGAGGGAGTCAATCCAGACGTAAGGGATATGTAGGGCCCGAGCGACTGCGGCGGCCTCCTTGTAAATCTGAGGCAAGGTCTCAGTGGGTATGGAATCGTGGTAAAGGGCGTTGTTGTATGTCCTTAGGCTTGTAATGGCTGTTTCGGCCGTCCAGCGATAGCTGAGGGTGATGTAATTAATGCAGCCCTCCTGCCTCTCAAGAGTTTCGCCATCGACCAGCCGAAATACTGAGTGTTCATCGGTTCCAACGTCAACGAGACGGATTTTGCTCTGGTAGCTGTAGTTTCCATCGTCACTACTGAAGGTAAGTAGTCTTTCCGAGGGTATGCAATCATGATGACCCTCTAAGCATTGCGTCAACCACTCTCGGACTTGTTTGATTGAGGACGAGCCGAAGGTAGTGGTTGATGTCGGTTGGGCTATCGTGAAAGGGCCATACCGCGATGAACTACCCAGGACGTCCATGCTTGTATCCGACATCCAGGCTGTTCCGTTGGTACACTGCCCCGACAAGTCTGGATGGACAGACTGGAATCGCAGTGTCTGAACAGAGGAAGTCTTGAACCTTTCACCCAAGGTATATTGCTCCTGATAGTTACTTAGAATCGACAACTTTATGGGGAAGTCTACATTCTTCCAGTCCTTGTCTAGTGAGCAACGGAGTTGGATTTCTTGATTAGCCTCGTACCACTCAGCATATCCTTGACGGTTTCCCACGATCATATCGGGTGGGAGTAGGGAGTCCAGAAAAACTCTGCACAAGTGACAGCCCGTCCCTGCCGACTCGTGAAGGTCGCGAACGCTGAAATCACGCAGGTACCAATCATCTTCGTCTGCAAGCGCGGCATCTTCCAGGTCCCAGAACCACGGCCCAATCGTAGGGAACACTGCTTGGCAACCATCACAGAGCTTGTTAAGCTGTCTGGGAGGGTAGCTAGACTTTATGACGGGTTCCTCTGCCAAGGTATTGTCGATCGGTCCATGGTTGAAGTGGGAAGATATTTTCATGGTATCCTTTGATTATGAGAAAGTCTGTTGTAAACATGGGCATCGGGATGACATGTGAAGAGGTAGCCAGGAGATTCAAGGGAAAGAATGGCCATGGACAAGTTCATACAAAACAATGGGACCGATGGGGCGCACTGGCGAGTTATGGTGAACTTTTTTCGACGGGATTCGCTCGTTCGAATTCGGTGATCCCTCTGTATGTCGTGAAACTTGAGCTGAAGGTAAGACAAGGAAGGGTTCCTTTGAAAATCAGGTGGTGGTTGATCAGAATAAAGTAACTGGAGGGCAGAAGAGGAAGAAACTAGGGAAGCTAGGTAGAGATACCCCTCATTGCTAGGCACACAACGTACCTTCCCAACGGCAACCAGGCAAAGGGCAAAAAGAGGTTAGGCAACAATCAACAAGACCCAAACCCTAACCCTATTAAAATCCCCGATCTCTCTCCCTCAACAATCCCACAACTGAAACAAGACCCCCTTGAATCTCGGACAGGATTCACGGGGGTGCTTGGAGGCAAGGCAAACTTGAACTTGGGGTATATGGTATATTGCAATTGGTTGTTGGGAGCTTGTGTTTGGCGTGGTGGTGGTGACCCATGAGCATCACGTGATCACGTGTGCCATGTCGTGTCCGTTTCCGAAATGTACTGGCCCACGCAAGGTACATAATATCAAGAATCGACAGGATCCTCTCCCTCACCTTGTAGCTGCTCGTAGAATAACCTTTCGGTCCAGTCGAAAATGTAGTCGTATTTGAATCCCTTTGCTCGAAAGAGACGGCTGAAAATTCGACGGAGGTACGAGTAGTCCGGCTTATCATCAAAACCCAGTGATCGGGTATAGTTGATATACGTAGCGAATTCTTCAGGGAGAAAGCCGTCACATAGTTCCTCACCTGACAAGCTCTCCTTGATTTCCCCTACCCGCGCCCTCCGTTCGTCCTCGGTGGCGGCCTTGATGCCCTGCCACGGTAGGGAGCCGCGGGCAAATTCTACCAAGACATAACCGAGAGACTCCAAGTCGTCGGCCCAAGATTGTTCTTTCCGGCGCGTTAGTAAAGGGATGGATGGATGACTGTGATATTATTAATTTTTACTTACGGCGGCCATTGTGGGCTCTGACGCTTGCGTATCGTCTGGTCCCAACTAGCTGGCGACCCGTTGCATTCCTACAAGACTGAGCCTCTTCAAAAGACTGTGCGATGCCAAAATCGATTGCGTAGAGCGTATTGCCCTGCTTTCCCACCCCCATGACGAAATTTTCTGGTTTGATATCGCGATGGAGGATGCCCTTGGAATGGATGTATTCGATCCTGGAGATGGCTTGGTCGGCGATGAGAAGGATGGTCTTGAGCGAGAAGCTTTTGGCGCAATAATTGAACAGGTCCTCCAGCGACGGACCCAAGAGATCCAACACCAGCACATAGTACTCGTCCTCGAAAGTAAAGAGTCGTACTTTGGGGATTCCCACCCCGCCGGACAGCTCCTTGTACACATCGTTTTCCTGTTTGATCAGCATAGGGCCGGCGCTCTTGGCCTCATCATAGTATGTGAGTTTCAAAGCGACGTCCTCGCCCGACTGCATGTCCGTTCCTACCGAGCGCAGTCAGCAACACAGGGCGGCAAACGGCAAAGGCAAGGCACGCACGCACGTACCTTCATAGACAAGCCCAAAGCCTCCCTCGGCGACTTTGCGGTTAACGCGGTACCTGTCGGCACAAATAATGTCCTTCATGGTTGGTCATGATGAAATTTGAAATTGATGAGACTCCCTGACTGGAGAATGAGGTTGAGAAACGAACGACTGGAGAATGGAAACCTGACCCCCTCCCCAACGGGCATATGTATATGTATGTATGTTGGTACTGTGTATGTATGGTCCAGCCGGGGTTAATTAGCTAGCCAGCTGCCTGCCGCAGTCCTTGATTAACTCGGCACCCTTGGCACTCAGGCCCGCTCCACTCTGATTTTCCAATTCTGTAGTATTTAGCTTCTCATCCAGCCGGCCATTTAACCCCATGCATCTAAAGAACCCCCAGCCTTCATCAATTTCTCTTCGAACACGCTCCGCTTCCGCGTCCATCTCCCCCCTCCCCCACCGGATGGCGTGGGATGACTTGGACGTGTCGCCGCCCAATGGCTTCCTGAAAACTACACCAGACCACAACAGACTGATTACCTTACATACCGGTGTCCATGCCAGCTCGGTGCTGCCTATTATGTATGCAGCCATTCCTTGGAGCAACTCGGAGGCCGTCCGTCTCGGTACGCGCTAGGCCCAATCCATCGTCACATCACGACAACACAGCGCAACGGCGAGCAGTGCCAGCTCACCTGCAGTCCTTTGTGCTTCACAGCTCCGCGCCCTCCCCCGTAGCGGCGCCGGCTCGATAAAAGCCCGTCATGGCGAGCGCGGAAAGTCGAAAGAGAGCCCGCGCGGACAACGACGACGACGACGACGACCTCTCCCACAGTTCCAGCAGCAAAAAGATCAAGTCGGGTCGCGAGAATACAGTTGAACAACAATTTTACTGCCGTTACTGGCCTCCCAAAGTCTGGGATAAGCTATCCAGGGTTCCGCTCGCGCGTATCTCACTTCGAGAACTCGACCGGCGGAACAAAACGCAGCTTGCCCCACGGCCAGCACCAGCAGTGCGTACCGCTGACCTTGCTCGCTTCGCACGACACGGCGGTCCAGATCTTCGTCATCTTCGAGGGGTACGTAGGTACCTACCTATGCCTACGCTGCAGCATATTGGCAAGACGGACGCTGACCCGCTGTCAAGTACCCCGATCCCCAAGGCGCCGTACACACCATGGGTCCGCCTAGTGGTGTTTCCACCAAGACGCCCAAGACGTCAGCGTACAATGGTGCTTTCGAACAGCTCATGATTGACTACTGCATCTATCCTCCGTTTTATACCTTCCCCGACAACCCGGACGCCGAGACCCCGGAGCCAAACAATCTGGAGGAGGAATGTGAGGTCCTTTCAAAAAGGAGGCCGTCCCTTGACTCATCCCGCTTTACCAAGAAGGAGTTTCGCATCTTCCAACGCAAGAACAAAGCTGCGATTACTGAAGCTACCGTTGAGCGCACCGTGGTCCCATTGATTACCGGCACCTCCGACGACGACATCCGCAATTTGAGCAACCTCCTCTTCTCCGACCTTGAGCCGATCGCTGGTGAAGATGTCGTCACACCAAAGCCGGATTTCTTCGACGGAGCTGACATGGGGGCTATCCATCCAAAGATCCGAAGTGCTAACGAGGATGGCAACCTGAGAAAGCTAATCATCCCCACAAACAACGTCGATGCTCCAGTACTACCCAACTTCTTTATGGAATTGAAACGTCCTGATGGTCACTCGCGCGTTGCGTGGCGACAAGCAATGCACGTTGGGGCAGTCGGAGCCCGTGCTATGCATGCTTTAATGAATTACGGTAAGGAGGAGCCGGTCTACGACGGCAATATGTATACATACAGTTCAACCTATCACGACGGGAGACTCAACTTGTACGCGCACCACGTCGCGCCGCCGACCGCGCCAAACGACCGGCCCAAATATTATATGACTGCGGTTAAAAGTTACGTATTAGAAAGCGACATGGACTCTTTTCGGCAAGGAGTTACGGCATTCCGGAATGCACGGGATAGGGCGCGATGGCACCGAGACAATTTCATTCGGGCGGCGAACGCAAAGGCATGCCAGTCCGACGGGGTGGTGGTAGCAGCGCCACCTGAAGCAGGAAGCACAGCTGCTGCCGCGGGCGTGACGGCGCAGTCCGGGGAAGCGACAGCAGAAACCACAACTGCTGCGGCGGGTGTGGCAGAGCAGCACAAAGAATCGACTGTTGATGATGACCTGGGGGGTCGCGACACTGATGCTGAGTCGCAAAGTACCATAACTTCTATCGGCGCCGAGGAGAACTACACTGCATCTCAGGACTTGGTCGCCGGGGAACCGGCTCACTCTCAACGGCTGCTTCATCAAGTGCCTGAGCCCAGCCAGGAGTCTACATTGCGGGGTATTGAGCCGGCTACAAGCCTCGCCACCAGCTTAACGTCGAGCTTGAGCCAAAGCCAAAACAGCACATCTGGTAGTGCGAAGCGAACTAGGGTATTCGCTGATCTCCTGTCAAATGCAGGCGGCAAGAAACAGGATGGAGAAAGCAAGCGGGTACGTCGGGGTAGCTTTTAACCCAGCAGTGCATTGGGAGATGTCCCTATCCCCCCATATTTGTTCCCCTTTTGCTTTTTTGGAATTCCGTTCATGTCCGCTCGTTCTTCTCCCATGTTGGTCTACAATTTCACAATTGTTGATCTGCGTCTGATTTCTCTACATTTACAACCATGGGTATATACCCCACCCTCTGCTTGCATTTCCGACGGCGTTGATACATAGAAAGCGTCAAGTTGCATTTCCATGATACCCCCAAGACCTTGTTTCCCTTTCCTGTCATTGTTGGATTCCCTTGGAAGTTTGGGACATGGGGGACAGTTGTGAAGGGGTGGGTGGCCAGCCAGAAGATTCAAAGTAAAGTAAACCCATGGACATGATATTTATGTAAAACAATGGGATCCATCCATGGAGCGCACTGGCGAGTTATAGTAAACTTTCTCGACGGGATTCGCTCGTTCGCATTCAGTGATCCCTTATTTGAGAAGTAAAAAGCAACACAGGAAAAGGGTAGAAGAGGTTAGTTAGGCGACAATCAATAAGAGAGACCCTAACCCTAACCCTATTGAAATCCCCGACATCACATCTCTCCCTCAACTAATCCAACGACTGGAACAAGAACCCCTTTGAATCTCGGACAGGTACCATTGGACACCTTTGGGCATAGTCATATTCTCTGCCTTATCGCTTCTAGAATAAAAGAAATGTGACGGCGGGATCATCAAGGCCTAAAAATTCAAAGGGCCAATCCGAAAAGAAGATGTCTCGTGGGCACCTCTGAATGTGGGCGAATGTTGTTTTAGGTATGGTTAGCAGGCTGTATCTCAATGGTAGGAATGTCGAGACCATCGGCCTAGGTAGCAGCGTAGTGACTCCAAAGGCAGAGAACCTGGACATGTTCCGATTTCACATACGACCCGGAACAATGGAGCTGCTAGGTGGTTGATTCTTGGTGGTCAGGTCATATAATGTACAGTGGAGAGTGGCTCGTGGTGCATCGAACGGGTTGTGTCGGCAGCCTTTCGGAATGTAATCAGAACTTGGGTATATATTGCGTTGGTAGTTTGATAGTTGAGTGAGCCTCGCTCCATTCGTCGCCGTGGTCTGGTATCGTAATGTCCTCCTCCTCTCCATCCTTTCCCCCTCGATGGTAGCATGACGACCATTTAATCGAGACCGTTCTCAGACTTCCAGCGAGCAAGGTAAGTGGCGGGGTTCTTGGGGCCGAGCTTGTCGCCGGGGAACTGGTCGTGGACGGGGCGGATGGTCTTGGAGACGAAGGGGGTGAGCTTTGTTGTTGGATCTTGTTAGCACTTTTCTTTATTCTCTGTCCTCTATTCTCGGTCATTCCACCAGCACCAGATCCCCCATCTCATCCCATTCCAACCCCAAACCCGGACGATAATAGAGGACCACCCACCTTGAAGCCGGTCAGATCCGGGCACACATAGGTGCGGACCTTGGTGTAGTCGATCTTGTAGGTACCGTAGCTGGTGTGCGTACCCATGGAACCGGTACGGTTACCCTTGTAGAAACCCTTGTTGACATCCTTAGTGGTCAGGCGCAACTTGCGGTACTTGAGACCTTGGAGGATGCGAGTGGGCTGCATGGTGGGCTAGGAGGATTCCGCTTTGCGGGGCGACGACGACGGAGGGTTGTTTTTTGTTGTCGGTGATCTGGGTGGTGGGAAACCCTCGATTGGTAGAGGGTTGAGGTAAGCGGAAGTAAGACGGAGACGGGATCCGCTACAAGGGATTGAAGATCCGGCGCACGCAACAGGAACGGAGACGGGCCTCGGACTCGGACTGGCGCTGGACAACACGGACGGCGACGGGCGACGGGCGACGGGGTTGAAATCGAGAAATCGCATCCAAGCCGGGGCCGCGCCGGGTTAAAGTGGAGCCTTGTCAAGAGTTTGGAGCTCAATTGAGCCAATGATGTGAGATTACGAGAGACAGGTACCCTTGTAGCCTGCTGCGGCCCCGCAAAATAGGTGGGTGTTGCGCGCTCACCGCCCAAAAATTATCGATTACAGAGGCGGCAGAAAAAGTTTCGGGGGAGCTTGTTCACTGGCAGGAAGTTGAAGGCTTGACTGGAGTTGTTGAAGGGACCTGACCACTTCGACCTTCTCAGGACCCGTGCAGGCCAAAGTTGGACATTTACATCCATTCCATTCAACGATAACCTCGCCACCCACTTTTGCTTGCCCGACCTCAAACTTAATTGACTGAACTACCCTCTGACCCCCAATCAGTCAATCCCCAAATACCAGCGAAATGCCCGGCCGTCAAGCCCACGGCAGGCCTTTAATGCCCAAGTCGGGCGGCGGAGGGCGTCCCAAGCACAGAGTCAACAACAAGACCGCCGATAGGAAATCCCGAAACAATGTCCTCGACGCCTTCGCCATCGCCGCCGAACAAGTCCCCCAGAAGAAAGCCAAGGGCGTCCGCACACGAGACCTTGACGAGCCCGAAGAGCGCCCCCAGAAGAGACAACGAGATGACGAAGACGAGGACGACGAGGACGGAGACGAGGATGAGGAAGATCTCGAGGACGCCAGGCCACAAAAGAAGAAGGCCAAGAACAGCGACGACTTTGAAGGCTTCTCCGACGGTGGCGAGGACAGCGATGGCGAGGAATGGCATGTTGGTGTAGGCGCTGATGACGAAGATTCTGAACTCGACTCTGACGAGGCCTTTGGCGAGAGCGACGAGGAAAAGTTCGATGGCTATGCCTTCAGCGGGAGCAGCTCCAACAAGAAGGGCAAGAAGGCGAAGAAGGGTGGGAACGACAGTAATGAGGAGGAAGAGGAGGAAGATGAGGACGATGACTTGGAGTCGCTCGGTTCCGACGCCATCGATCTCGCCACAGCACTGGATCAGTATGAAAGCGACGAGGAGGAGGAGGGCGAAGAGGAATCCGGATCGGAAGACGATGCGGACAGCGAATCGAGCGAAAGCGAAGACAGCGACGACGATATGGAGGACCCTTCCAAGCTCGACGACCTCCAAAAGATGATCTCCGGGTTTGCGGGCGACGACGACGACGACGAAGAGCAATTAGGCTCGAAACCAACAAACAAACTCAGTCTCTCAGATCTCGGCCTCCTTGGCGTCCAGGACCCCCACATGAAGAAGTCTCTCAAGCTCATGAACAAGGAGGAAAAGGCCGCCAAGCCTGGGCAATCCAAGAAGCTCGACATCCCCCTCGCAAAGAGGCAACAAGACAAGCTCCTCCGCTCCGCCGCCTACGAAAAGACCTCCGAGACGCTCGAGCGCTGGATCGACACCGTCAAGCACAACCGCCGTGCGGATCACCTGGTTTTCCCCCTCGCGCAAAATGCCCACGACGCCGGCCTCGACAGTCAAGAACTCCTTCCCGTGACCAAGACCACGGCCGGTACCGAGCTCGAACAGACCATCCTGGCCATCATGGAGGAATCCGGCTTGGGACCCACCAACAAGCCCAAGAAGGAGGACCAGGATAACGTCGAGGAGATTGCCGCTCGCAAGGGTCTCTCGGCCGCTGAGATGCAAGAACTCACCCGTCAAAAGCGCCGCGAGCGTGAGCTCTTCTCTCGCGAGCAGGCCCGCCAGAAGCGCATCAAGAAGATCAAGTCCAAGGCGTACCGTCGCATTCACCGCAAGGAGCTGCTCCACGACGAGCAGGAGATGCATGATGCCATGGTTGAGGCGGGAGAGATTGATTCAGAAGAGGAGCGCGAGGCTCTGGACAGGAGGCGAGCCCTCGAGCGTGTCGGTACTCGTCACCGGGACAGCAAGTGGGCCAAGCTCGGCAAGAAGGCCGGTCGCGCAGTGTGGGATGACAACTTCCGCGCTGGGTTGACGGAGGCTGCTCGCCAGAAGGAGGAGCTGCGCCGGCGGATCGAGGGACGCAGAAAGGGCGAGGAGGATTCTGAAGACAGTGGTTCCGACGATTACTCTGCTGAGTCTGGCGATGATAAGCACAACAAGAAACGGTTGCTGGAACAGCTCGAGCACGCTGCTTCCTACGCGGACGGCGAGGCCGAGTCGGGGCTAATGCAGATGAAGTTCATGCAACGCGGCGAAGCCCAGAAGAGGAAGGAAAACGAGGAGATGATTGCACAGATCCGCCGAGATCTCGACTCCGACTACGACTCTGACGATGTCGAAGAGACGGATATCGGTCGGAGGCAGTTTGGTATGGGCAAGAAGGAGATCATACTCCCCGGCCAGCAAGCTGCTCAGAAGAAGAAGGGGAAGAAGAACATCACAAACGACATGTCCAACCTCCAAGTAACACCACAACAAGCAGCCACAACCCAAGTCGAGGACACTTCCCTTGCCGCCTCCGTCGCCGGTGCCTGGTCCAAGGCTCCCCAAGAAGGTCGCAAGAGCACCAAAAAGGCCGCCAAGGTCTCCGTCGGCGAGTTGGACCTCTCCAACGCCGCCATGCTCGCTTCCAAGCCCAAGCCCAAGTCCAAGGACGCCGGAGCAGCCAAGGAGAAGAAGTCCTCCTCCTCTGCTCCCGCCGCCACCACCGTCGACGACTCCTCGTCCGACGACGAAGAAACCATCCACCTCCCCCTCGCCATCCGCGACCAAGAACTCATCAAGCGTGCCTTTGCGGGCGAGGACGTCGTAGGCGACTTTAACCGCGAAAAGGCCGAAGTGGAGAAAGAAGACGACGACAAGGAAATCGACAACACGCTTCCTGGCTGGGGCGGCTGGGTAGGCGAGGGCATCTCCAACCGCGAGAAGAAGAGGCACACAGGCCGGTTCGTCACCAAGGTGGAGGGCGTCAAGAAGGAGAAGAGAAAGGATTTCAAGCTCAAGGGGGTGATTATCAAGGAGGGACGGGTTAAGAAGGTTTGTTCTTTCCTTTTCCCTTTCTCTCTCTCTCTCTTTTTTTTTTTTTTTTTTTTTTTTTTTTTTTTTTTTTTTTTTTTTTTTTTTGGGGGGGGTTCTCGCTTCGCTCGATATTTTCTTCTTTTTTTTTTTGCGGCCACAGTCTCAAGTTTTCTTTGGTTGAAGTCATGATAAACGGAAAGCTAACACACATGAAACACAAAAACAGAACGACCAATACCTCGCCACTTCCCTTCCCCACCCCTTCGAAAGCCAAGCGCAGTACGAGCGCTCGCTCCGCATCCCCGTTGGTCCCGAGTGGACTACCAAGGAGACTTTCCAGGATGCTACCAAGCCCAGAGTCATTCTCAAGCAGGGCATCATTGCGCCCATGTCGAAGCCTGTTCTCTGATGAGTTTGGACATACCTATAATAGGTATATGTCGGACTCAGTTGGGTTCAACTTTGTGGTTATTTTTTACAGTCGGTTGGTTGGTTGGTTCGCTGGTTCGCTGGTTCGCTGTTGTTGTTCGAGGCTTGGTTCTTTGGGTACGATACCTAAACATCTACTCTGTTTTTTTCTTGTTTCATAGTTTTATGTCAAGGGGCTGGGGACTTTTGTGATAGTCGCATACAAACATACCCACATATATAAAGTGTCTGTTTGGGGACAAAAAGGGGAGGGTATCATTATCAAAGTTCAAAAGTTTTGCATGTTTACACCAAGTTTCGGAGGAGAGGGGACTACACTCACTACTTGTGTAAGAGTAGCTAGGTAGCCTCTTGTGTTTATATAGATGCCGTGGTCGGGGAGTTAATGGAGGTGTGGTTGGTTACATGACATGCACGTTGCAGTTCGTTTATCTAGAGAAAGTTGTTCTGGAGAAAGTTCTGGGTGAACAACTAATTACCTAGCTGGCCATGTCTTTCGACAACGAACTTGTCGCTCTCGATTCGAGTTTGCAACTACATTCAGGAAGAGGGCTCTAGCTGAGGTTAGTGCGTGTGATTTCACCAACGTTCCTTAATCACATCGCCCTCTCATGTTTCGACCTAGGGCTCACGGATTGACTTAACAAGGCAAGTTAATACCTCTCCTCTTCTGAAGGAATCACCATGGTGAACGAAACAACTACTGACTGAACGCGTCACTAGCAACTCAATCATTGACAAAACGCTTACTAGTAAAACAGTGGTATCATAACTCAAGGAAACCTCGACTCAAAACTAACTAACTGAAACGGAACAACAACTAACTTATCACCGTGCCTGGCACATATTATTCCCTCCACTTTTACCCCAAACCACTCACTCCCCCCTTTGCTCGCTTGATGGATAGGTATCAAACTGACTGATTGACTCTTCCAAACTCTCAACCGACAAAAGAACAAAAGGATATCTATTTTAAATCAGACTCAAACTTGAGGGATATCAAACCGTAAGGAAACAACAATTACATAAAAACACACTCCCCCGAGATCTCTACTCAGAAATCAAAGACCGTTAAGCTTGGGCTCACTAGCCGTAGGAGTAGGAGTCCCCCCCGTACTGAAAAACTCATCAGCAGTCACGAACCGATCCAATCCCGGCCTGCTCCCCAGCGTCCCTGGTGTTCCGGGCGTAAGAGGCGTAGGCAACGACATGCCGATTCCCCTCGTGGCATCCAGTGGGAGTGTAGCATAGTTCCTGACCTCTACTTCACGGGGGACGATGCGTTCTTCAGCCTTGCTAGCCTCCATCTTCTCGGTTTCAACCTCCACTTCGTGCTTCAGTGCACTTCCACCAGTGCGGTTTCCAGCTGCTGCTGCTTCACCGTCACCTTCGGCCAATGAAGTGGCGTCATCAGCAGCACCAGGCATCAGCGACAAGTTGTCCCTTGACGCACCAGCGCTGGTGCCCGGCGGACTCTGCAGAACGCCGGTGCCCGCTGTCATCCTGCTCTTGCCACTCTGCAGCGTAATCATGCTAGCTGTCTCGGCCTTCTTGCCTAGACTAAACGGCGTAGCCAAGCCATCCACAATGGGCCTCTTCCCCGTCGCCCCGACCTCCGGAGGCTGATGGTGCTGTTCCTCCAGCTCTCCCTTCCTGTACGCCAGGATATCCTCGATCTGCGGCCTCTCATGCTCGTGCTCGTCATCATGCAGATGATGTTCCCCCGTCTGTCCCTGGTCTGCAACGCTCTTGTATCTAGAGCCCGACGCTCTGGTTCCGAGACCGGGACGCTCGACGCCCGCGGCCGTCTTGCCTTGGACGCCGGTCCCTTCCTGGTTTTTGATGTCGGAGTAGCTGCGAGCGCCCTCGCCGCCGTCGGCCGCCTGGACGGTCTTGGTGGAAACGTCTCGGCGGTCGGCCTTCTCCCCGCGCGCCACAGTCATCTTGTCGTGCTTGCTGCCCCATACGCCCCAGAGACTGAGACCCCAACTCTTCTTGTCCTTCTTCAGGTCCTCCTCGCGGTGGCCAATCTTTCTGCGGCCTGCGAGTGCCGAGGGAGGAGGGACGTCACCGCCAGGAAAGACTTCGTAGCCGCCTTCGCGCATGTCCTTGATTCTCTGCTTGTGAACCTTGGACTTGGTTGAGGCAAAGCGGGAATCGAATTTCTTCTTGTGGGCGAGCCATTTGCGCACTGGACCGGGTTTGATGACGCCAATGGCGTTCCGGTCGACGCAGCAGGCTGGGAGGTCAGAATGCTCAGGAAGGGGGAGGAGCAGACCGGTGGTGGTCACGCGTTGGCGGATCATGTGATGGTGGAAGGGCGGAAGAGGGTCGCCGGCTTTGCCGACGGCGTTGGCCTCGTTCTCCTTTTCGGCAACCGTCTTGACTCTCTTGTTTTTGGACCTTTTAGTCTTTTTCTTGGGCATCGGCTTGGGATCCAGGTTAGGTTGGGTTGGGTCAACGGCAGGCTCGTGGGTAGCGTCATCAGAGTCATCCTCGCCCTCGTGGCCGGAAATGACAGAGATGTCGTCATCATCGAGAATGTCAATCTCGGTCCGCTGAGCGCGAGCAAGTGCCCAAGCGCCGAATTGGGCGATGGCTCGGAACTGGTACTTGGCTGGCCGTGTGAAACTCAAAGTAGGAGCCACATGGCACAGGTCATCCCAGACTTGGAGCTGGACGTCGGTTGGTGGGTATTTCTTCACTTGTGCCCAGGCGTGCTCATCCATCATGGCTTCGGGTGGAAGGTATTGCTCGGGGTTGGCGCACTTGTGGGCCAGGTAAATCTGCTCGTCGCGCAAGATCTCGGCGCCGCCGGTCATGATAAGGAGGGGAGGGAGACCACCCAGTGTAGGTTGCAGAACAGGGCTCACAAGAGGGTGGTTGAGCATCTCATTGGTGGTGTACATCTGGATCTGCTCCTTGATGTCGATCTGTTGGCCGTCGATCATGAGCGACAAGCGAGTGGGTTTGTCGATAACGTCGCCAATGGTGGGAATGCCGCTGTTGGAATCCGAACTGCCCTCTTTCACGCCGTCGCCCTTCTTTTGCTCGATGGCAATCTTCTTGAGCTCCTCCATCTCATCCTCATCCGGTGGTGGCCATGCCCTCGACGGCCTATGATGGAACCCAGAAGGCGGAACGTAGTCCAATGGACAGTCTCCCGCAACACTGGGAAACGAATGCGTAAGATCGACCCAGGGACTGATCAAAACTGCACCAGCGGGTAATGGGATGCCCTGGTCTCTTAGAATCACCAACAACGACAAGACCATGCCACCACCCGCCGAATCACCCGCCAAGATGATCGTTTTGGGCTCCTGCTGCGTCAACAGGTACAGGTAAGCAGCCAGGCAGTCCTGCAATCCACACGGGAAGGGGAACTGCGGCGCCAGCCTGTACTCGGGCGCAAACGCTCGGGCCCTCAGCTTCCGCGCATGTCGCTGAATCATGAAGCGGTGCTCATTGACACTACCAAAGAAGTACGCGCCTCCATGAATATAGAACATGACGCGATTGCCCGGGTCTGCGTTCTTCTTGCGCTCTTCGTAGTCGGCCTTCATCTCGATCCACTCAGCCTTCAACGGGCTCTTTGGTCTGCGCCATTGCCACCACTCGCGACCGCCGACGCGGCGAATGCCCTCGGGACCGAGTTGTTCGTGGAGAAGGTTGGCGGCGTAGGAGAGTTTATCTTGGGGGATCTCGACCTCATCGACGCGAACCCAGGAAGGATGAGGGACCCATTGGCCGGTGAAGGCCTGGAGTTCTTCGACAGGACGGGTGGAGGCAAAGGCGAGGAAGGAACGGATTAGGTGGAGGCCTTCGTCGTACGAGAGTCGCTCGGTGGGTTTTTGGCGGACTTTTTTACGGTCGAGGTACTGATTTGAGTCATGTTAGAGAACCAACCATGTGTGGGTTTCTTGATGTGACAGAAACAAGATTAAAGCCCGTTCCTCCCGGTGGTGGATCGCAAGTAAAAGTGGAAGACGGGATGATTATACGTGGAATAAATACTAAAGAAAAAGACTTACATGACTGAAGAGGGTGGAGACGACTGTTGGCGTGACAGCCATGCCAATCGTCGCCGTGTTGAGAGGAGGCATCTTGCTCTCTCTGTTTTGTTTACTTAGGTATTCATGAATGAAGGACAAAGGTGTTTACTCGGGAAAAGGAACGGAAAAGAGAGAAGAGCACAGACAAGATCGATTAAATATCAGCCAAAAAAAGCCCAAACCAAGGGATCGGGCAAAGTTGAAACGAGAGCTGTCAAGGGGCTGGGATGGAGGCCTGGACTGGCTGAGTGGCCATCTGAAAAAGGGATTGGCTGGTACCTGAACAGGACACGGGAAGGAGCCTGGAGCGGGCGCTGATTTGTTTTGTCAAGGAACACCATCCAATGGGCGACATGATGTCATCCCGTCCATTCACAAGGAAAAGACGGACTAGTGAAGAGCTACAGTATGAATGGACATGTTTGGTTTCCATCGAGTGGGGGCAATCACATCTTGCCGCGTTGTGGATTAGGCGTATTCGGTATCGAGTAACACAAAAAGGGGAAAAGAGCAACTCCAAAATTGGATCAAGTGTTGGTGCCGAGAGATTATTGAAATGACGATATCTTCTGAAAGGGAACCTCCAGGGATCATTCCAGGTCCAGGCCTTCTTTATGCTCGTCAGGTCAGGCACTGGAAGCAGTCTGGGGTGCATAAATGATGTGCTGTAAGTGCACGGGCCACTTGGAGTCACATAGGTAAAGCGATAGGCACCATTGCACGCGTGTTTTCAGTGGATGCTTCCAGGGGACCAAAGCCCCGCGTCACCTCGAGCTGCCTGTCTCGCCGAAGCTATTTCCACTGCAGCACGATTTGTATCCAGGTCATCCGCATCGTCTTCAAGATTATACCTAGGTACCGAGATTCATCTCCATCATATTACTCAAGGAAATTATATAGTCTTGCGACACCAACAATTCAGGTCCATCTTCCACTTCTTCAGCTACCATAGTGTTGCTTTCGAATTATTGTCCTCACAAAGCGACCCAACTCCTCCACTCAAGCCCCAACAGCATTGCGTCGGTATCACCTCAACACCCCGCAGACCTTGAATCACAGGGCAGAGCTGCGCACCTTTGACTCGACTCTCAACCTTCACCCACGACCATCCTCACGAGTCCTCCCAGCATTACCATCTCTCCAACACAGTCGCATACCCAGTCCAGCTTCGGCGCATACAACTACTCAAAATGGCGACCCAATACGAAGGTACGCTCCCGTCTCCTCTCCCCCTCCCTTCATCTCCTCCCACCAGCGCATCACTAACCATCCTTCACCCTCCAGTCGAACACAACATTAAACCCTCCTCCATCGCGCCCCGCCGCCGCAAAGTCGACATGTCAACCTTTACCTCCCATCTGCACAACATCGCCCCGGAGTCCTCCACCTCCACCTCCAACTCCTCGCAGTCACAGTCGCACCACCACAACCCGCACGCGACCCCCAACCCCGTCGACCTCGCCGCTCTCTACCGACTGCTCCAAGACCAAATGGGCGTGCTCGCCCTCTCGGCACCGACCGACGAAAACCGCAACTTTCTCAACTCGCTGATCGATTCTCTGGAAGAGGACATCCACCGCCCGCCCACGCAAATCGAGGGTGTCTCGCAAGAGTTTTTGGATGGGCTGGACAGGGTGGACAGGAAGAAACTAAAGGAGGACGAGCAGTGCCCTATCTGCGCCGAGAGGTATCTGGATGATCAGTATTGTCTGGTGGTGGAACTGCCGTGTCATCATAGCCATCGGTTTGATCTTGAGTGCGTGGGGCCGTGGTTGAGGAGTAAGGGGACTTGTCCGATGTGTAGGAAGGAGATGGGGAAGAGGAGGGAGGTGGTGACTAAGAAAGAGGAAGAAGAAGAGGAGGAGGAGGATGATATGGATGGGTTGTATGCTTGAGGGATTGGGTAGTAAAGGGAAGGAGGAATGAATGAATGGGGTTTCGAAGGATGGATGGTATACCACGTGGACACTTTGCGCTGGATGAGAGATATGTATATATATGTAAAGCGTTAAATGATTGATGTTGAGCACAAGGAAGCAAGCATGATGTCGATGTCTATTAGGCCTATATGCCGATAGGAGCAACAGTGCTGTTGTACCTGTACCATCTCCCATACCATCGATACCTATAACAAAACAAAAGCCAACAAATGAAACCCATCATATCTCATAACACAAGATGCAACCCAGAACCGTCTTCTCGTCTCCGGCATAGTCCTCCATGGCGCTCGATCCCCTCATTACATCGCGGCAGCCCCCTCCTCGTCAACACGAGTTGTCTTTTCCTGGCAGAATACTGTTCCTTCATACCAGTCCTGTTGTGTAAACAATATCGCTCTCATCCATCTCAATCCCCTCAAGCATCCATCGCACTAACCCCCTACTCCTTACTCCCATGATAGTTCGTCGTCCCCCCCTTCTTACTCCCCGCCGCCGGCCCACCACTCTTCTTCTTCTCCTTGCCCCCACCAGCCGTCGTCTTCTCCCCCCTGGACATGTCGCCCTCAGCAGGATTATCGCCCTGGGGCTTGGAGAACTGTCTGTTGGCTCCACTGGTCTCCAGCGGGTTGCCGTTGGACTCCTTGCCCGCTGACTCGGTCTCTTCCTTGGGCGAGGTCTTGTTGGGGTCAAAGGCCGTCTTGTCGAGGTGCGCCACGTCGTCGTCCGAGGCCGAGACGGTCCCTTCGGAGCTGGCTGGGCGGAGGGTGGTCCGGTCGGATTTGAAGTCTTTGGCGGTTTGGAGGAGGGGAGTGGAGTGGTAGGCGCGGGTTGACCCGGACATGAGGGGAGGAGTGGATCTCGTGATGGAGATGGAGATGATGGATCCGGTTTGAACAGGTTGGTTCGTGGCGGCGGCGCTGGCGCTGGCCCGGAGGAGGGCCGTGGCGCGGGTGAAGAGGGTTCGGGAGGCCATTTGTGATTTTGTCCTGACTTGGTTTCTTGGGTAATTTAATCTTCTAACTGCGAAATCTGCAAAGTTTTTACTCGTTTTCTTTTTCAGTTTTGTTGTGGTGTTGAGGAAGACGCGATCACATTGGAAAGTGTTGTTGTCCGGTCTAAAGTGAAGTGCCTTGATGCCTGTCAGGAACAAGTGACGTCACCAAGGAACAGATCGTCCGCTGTGGGGCCAATGGACGGCATTGAGGTTTAACAACTCAGCATCTGATCCAACACATTATCTCGATGCCGGCGAGTATTGAGCTTTTATAAGAGCACTAATGGATATCAAGAGTGAATCGCTTGTCAACATTCTCTGGTGGTTTTCGATTGTTAGAGCATGTTCTGTCCAAACATCCCTCTTCTGTCTCCGGCCCTCTCTCCGTCTCTTGCCTGCCGCCGCCCACCACCTGCTCTAGTATCTGTTTGACAGTATCTGCCTGCCAACACCACTCTGCCATTTGACGTCCGTGCGCAAGTGCAATTTCCGCCAGGTGCAGGGAAGTTTGCACTCGTGCACAGGCCATCTCTCAAGACCTACTTAAACAGGGCCTCCCCTCCCACTTCTTAGCCTTTTCTTCTTCTCTTTTTTTTCTTCATACTTACCTTGGTTGACTGCGCGGAGATCAAGAAAACCGAGTAGTATGGCGGAGAGCCTGCATTGCACATCGTGGTGCTAGCCGTCATGAATTGTCCTTCGGGGCCGTTCCGGCCGTAATTTTTGATGTCGAACCAAAACAAATCTTTTTTTTCACTGTGATCGTTCCTCGAGGGGGGCGACGTGGGGAAGAACGAAGCTTCAGTTATCATGGCTCGGGATGTGATACATACAATGGTGATATTACGCTGATATTTCTGTTGCTGTGGTGAGCAGGGCTAAGTTCTGTCGGTCGACTCATTTCGTGATCAACAGACTTGTCGCCGTCGTCATTCTTGCAAGTCGGCAGGCAGCCACCGCGATGTCCAGCGCTGCCCGTCTCTTGTGTGAGTGATCTTGACTGTAATTTCCCATCCTCATCTGTCACAGCAACGAGCTTTCATCTCCCGGTGCCGTTCCATTCGGATCACCGGCACCGCATTTCCTCGCAATCCACCTCAGCTCGTCCCCGTCGCATTGCGGTCCGTGATGCTCCCGTCTTGGGTTTCAATGGCAAATCTCCACGTTCCACCATGTTTCAACCATCAATCTCCATCAGCTCCCTGCCGGCTCCACGGACGGACGTTTATCAAGGTCGGCTTGCAACCCTATCCCACAACATCACCGCCGAGGACCCTTGATGGCTCAGCATTAGGTAATCGGTCCCTTCCGGCATGTTCCGTTTGCCATGTAGTATGTATTTTGCGCTGCAGATTGCGGTGAGATGTTGATGGGATCATAATCGCCATATCACAGATTTGATATTCCTCACAACGGGTTTGCCAAGGCATACGAGATGTCGTACCATTATCTCGAGCAAGCTAAAATGGTTCATTGTGTCTCCTTGTTTCCGGTAAGATCTTCAGGAAACAATTTCACGACGGTTAAAGAAAGGGTCAAGACAGATATGATAGAGTCTCTCCGACTGGTCAAAGTGCGACGTCAGTTACAGTAGTTGTCTTGGATTCGAGCTTGAAGCTTATTCATGCTTGCACACTGAAGCTATCGTCAACAGAGCTACACTAGGTAGTTTCAGAGAGGCACTAGCCTAGTTCCAGCACTGGTGCATCCGGTAGTTCTCCTACCGAGGCCGTGCCAAGTGATGGATTGATGGAAATCGCGGAATCGTTCCATTGTCTCTTTCAGTTGTTTCCCCAACCCATTTCAGCATGTCCGCCCTCAGAGGCACGACCAAGGGAAGTTGAGAGAGAGAGAGAGAGAGATGAGCGAACCCCCAGATTGGATGACGTATAACTGTGGTTCGGTTTATTTTCTCCGCTGCTTTGTTCGATTTACGCCGGAGTAATATCCGAAGCGAATCCATCGTTAATTTGATCTCGCAGACTGCTATCAATCACGGACATCAGGGCATACCATAGGTACCTATCATATCGTAGCTGATATGTAATCAAGGATCGGACTGCTTGCAGTACGCTAGAGGTAGCTTTCGGAATTCGGCTCAGGAGACGACGATATCGAAACCTATTATGATCGGTATGCTTCCGCGATGAACGAACTCTCCGAGAGCACTATCTCTAGATATCCAAGCACTGTGTTTCACAAACCATTAGAAACATGCTAACTGCTCTCCACAAATATAGTCTCCCGGCATATCACACTGTCTTAATGCTACGATATATAATGTACTATCAAGGGTAAGTAGCGTAGACCGCTAAACTAATCTAAAGAGAAGTCACCAATCGATGCCCTCGTTCGTCTTCGGTAGTTGTAAACGGGAGTAAGAAGCAAGATATCCGATTACGAAGAGATTCAGCCATTGTCTAGGTACGTGTGCCTAGAACTCTAGGGAAGCGAGATACACTATGTATGTATGTACCTACCTGTGCGCACAACTCCTCCTGCTCTGCCTAGAGGTACACTACCTACCTACCTATGTAGACTAAATATCTCGGAATGGCTGTACCCTTCACCGATTCTAACGGCGTTGCCTATGATATGATGTTTTTCCATGCCCTCCCCCTTGAGGTTCATGTTCTCCACGATCATGATGTTTGAGGTACCTACACACGGGTTAAGTTTTAGACCGGGCATCAATGATCACAAAACAGTGTTTGTTAGTACGTAGAGGAATGTAGTGAACATGGAACAAGATTGCATTGCAGATAGCGATCTCTCGATGCAATGATCCCAGGTTTACCTACCTACCTACCTTATTCAAGGATAAACGTTCAATAGGTAACCCCCGTCGCACGATCGATTTGGATTTGAATTTCGTTTAAATCTTCCACAACGGGAAAGGTAGACGACTAGTGTAGGTAGACGGACGGATTTCCCCGAACGTCACACCGGATAAGATTGAAAAACATCGGAACATACGAAAATGGAAAGCTTCCAGAAGAGCGGTAGAACAGTGGACTGGGCATTACCCATCCTGGTTCCGGGGGGGTCAAGTGTCAGGCCAGACACGCGCGTTGTCGGTGGTTGGGGTTCGAAAACCAATCAAGGCAGTGAGCCGACCAATCGACCCCGGATCACGTTCACCTCTCTTTCTTCAATGGCTTTTGTCACATTCGGAGGAGGAGGAAGAAAGAGGCGGGCGTGGCGGGAGGCCAGACCAGGTCTAGTCAAGCCAAGGGGGGCGCTCGTGTGCGTGTGCGTGTCGTGTGCGTGTGGTGTGGGAGAGACGGAGAGGCCCTTGAACGGACAATGAGCGGAACGGAAGGATGGCAATGGTGGGATGGTAGAGATGCCCGGGGATGGGATTTGGTTGTGTGCCACTTGACAAAACTGGACCATCTTATCCGTTTCTTGCTACCATAACATGATGAATTGATGGTAGGTACATACACGGCAGCTGCGATGTAACCCCCTCATTCGTTTCAGAGTGAACACAACTTGAAGTTGGGATTGAAACAACATCGATATCAGTCAGCACCATTAGACAACTTACTCTCACCAGGACTGGAGCGCATTGATACCTCCCGCTATATACGATGCGCTGCTATCGCGCAAGAAGTACTTGGGTAGAGGTAGGTACGAACCGGGTGGGTTGAACGACATGGACATACATACCTATATGTGTAGGACACTACATGTACATACCTGGGCGGTGATAACTGATAATAATAGGGACTCGCGGGTTGTGGTTGCGGATGAGTGCTACCTACGGTTTGTAACGGTGAGAGGGTGAGACGGTGAGACGCGTACAAACATTACGACAAGATGTCACCTACCCTTGGGTGTATTGATAAGTTTGATGATATGCCTGGTCGTCAGTCGAACACGGTAATGAGAAAAAGAGAAAATGTGAGCAATCAATTACTCAATCGATATGTTTCATAGGTAACCTTGGTTACGCCAATTGCTTGTAAATTAAGTAGTTGCGAGCAATCCTTCAACGTTGCAGCTACCCGAACGTTGGTTAAACCAGGCACAAAGCACAAGGAAAGCACGAAGCACGAGAAGTCGAACGGGCCCCTGCCGTTGAAGGAAGACTGTGGACGCGTAGCACTATATTCTTGTCATCTGTTTACTTACACCAGATGAGAGTAATTCGGGCAGGCCGTGGTGAGAATGTTATTATCAGCAACTCGTTTCGGATGATTTGAGTTACCGTTGGCGTTGGAGGTTTCTTCATGTCGTTTGCCTAATATCATCATCATCAACATGTAAGCACTTGTTCCTTAGTTCCCAACAAGATGGTAATCCGCAGTCAGTATGCCCAAACACCCTAAAGATAACCCGCCATCAAGAAATCATGGTTCTGAACGTGGGTAAGTAACACCAACCCAATGAAATAAATGGTGGTTGTGACGGTTACACACATCTGCACTTGCCATGCTCCAATCCTATAGATTATCCCATCCTGCCGCCTTTCAAACAGTGATAACTGGTGCATATGTAGTGTAGTGTAGTGTAGTGTATGCATTTCTTGTGCCGTAGTTCGCACGTGGTAAGGCAAGGATATTCCTATTCCGCCCTCGTTTCTGCCTTGTGTCAATGGTTACTAGTGTAGAGCCAGGGAAAACGCTGCCAGGTTTTGATTCATGGTGCGGAAATGGCGGAAGGAAACCTAATTCTTTTTTCCTCTTTTTTCTTTTTCCTTCTTTTCTTCTCGAAGATGACTTTTTTTTTTTTTCTCTTTTTCCTTTTTTCTTTCGTTTGCAGTTGGTTTTTTCTTTTTCTTCTTTTCGTGTTTGGTGTTGAACCGAGATTTTCGCATATCAGGGGGGGGGGGGGGGGGGGGGGGGGACCTCTACACGTGTACACTTTGCGGTTTTCTCTCGGGTTTTGTTGCGGTGAAGCATTGATGGCTTGGTATCAGCATGGTGTGTGTGCAAGTAAAATGACGAGACGCTGTGATGATCGAATCTGATCTGCGTCTGTTGGTGCCGATGACAACCCCCCTCCATCCCATGTTCCGTTTCAGAGCAAACAAGAAGGAAGGATCAATGTCGGTTTCCGTGATATTCATGACCAAAAAAGGTGTCTTTGTCCTGCTGAACACACGTCAAACGCATAATGTCGTGAACTCTAACGAAAAGATGACTCGTCTGTTTTTTCTTCTTTTCTTTTTTTTCTTCTCATTTCTGCGAAATCAATGTTTCGTCTATTTCGGTAACTTGTATGCGGGGATGTTGCTGGTATGCGCATTGTTCTGGATGGTTTCCTTTTCTCGGAGACAAGTTTCATCCTGTCTCCCGGCAGACATGGGCACCACGCGCACAAAATGTGACAAGGTAGTGTAGGAAAACGGGAATCCGACCGAACACATGTTCCCCCAACAAAAACGAACGAACGAACGAACTGTGAGTGACCGGTGACGTGGTCAGCGTGTTCCGTTGGTTATGGTAGACGCCACTCTCACCGCGCTTCGACTTTTCATGCATGGACCGTCATGTCGGAACCGAGCTAGACTGGAAAAGCACGATAGTACCACCACCGACCGGTTTCGGACATGTCCGGCTAACGTTAAAACTGGAGATTTCCTAGTGTACACACTACGGGGATGGGTAGTGGAAGCGAGCGAGTGAGGAACCGAGGATATTTTGAGGCTTCCGCTTCAGTTTTGCAGGTAAAAGAAAGGGAAATTGGGGAGTGGAGGGTTGCTTGGCGCTCGCCTAGGGAAAAAAAAAAAAGAGAGTTGAGGTGGCAGGGCATGATTAGGTAGGTAACGCTCGTCCATCCGCTAAACTCGAAACAGTCCACTGTCCACGAGGAGCTAGGTCGCCCAGGACGCCAGGTGGGTGTGATGGCGGTGGTGGTGAGCCCAGCCCAGCAGCCCAGGCAGCCTGAGGCGAATGCCCAGACTGGCGCTTTTTTTTATTTTTTATTTTAGTTTCCCACGCGATGGCCACGCTCTGTCGGCGGGCACTTTTCTGGGCATCACACATCTTGCGCAGGGCAACCGCATCTCATCACACTGCCCGCCTGGCATCCTGCCATGGACCTGACATGGTTTCACGCAGGACGCAGGGGCTGGTTGTCTAAAATGTAGGAGCTTGTGATCATGATGTTGCGTTGCTTGCGATGCGACTGTCGGTGTCAGTTTCAGTTTCCCCAGATTGAGATCTTGGAAATTTGGAATGTTCCATTTCACTTCTTCTGTCTTTTACGTATTTGCAGATGACAGCGGACAACTAAAATATTCACCACGAGAAAGAAAGCGTGGGAGAAGCAAGGAGCAGTAAAATCATATCGGTGGATCTGTATCTCTCTCGCTGTCTCTCCCCCCTCTTTCTCCAACAGCGAGGCTCTACACTAGAGGTAATGGAAAAGGCAAAAGGGGGAGTTATCACCAATCACAATCGCCATTTGCTCAGAACCTCGGAATCTCGCAAAGACACAATATCAAAGACCACTATCCCCTCATACGGTTGGCGGGCGCTGAATGGTGTTTATCTCGGGAGTGGATCTCCCATCTGTACCGGTTGCCCGTCTGGCTGGGATGGGGCGTGTATAACATGGCCCTGGACGGTGGTGGGCATTGGCCACTAATCTGGCGCATGTCAGGGTACCCACGGAGGCTGCCTTTTGCGCGGGCCACCACTGGTCACTGATCATTTTAGCTGTTAGAGGTGGTCCCCACCACCCACCTGCACAACAACCCAAGGACATGCGACCAGGGCACCACCACTCACTAGAGGTACTACCTAAGGTACCTACCACCACTGCACCACCACGGACCGCTTTCCGTTGTTGTCGTGTCAATTGTCTCTTTTTCTTTCCGTCCGTTGCCGCCCCCGTCCGTCCAGCAGTCTTCCTTGGTGTCCCCGGCTACCTACTTACTTACTGCGTGGACTCCAGTCATCCATCCACACGCATTGGCATTGCATCCTGTCGCCGCCGCTGTCCAACCTACATTTTTCCGTTTCGTGGTCGACGGTCTTCGTTGTCGGTCTCTTCAGCTTAGGTCGGTACAGTCCCATGAACAAAGCACACCAAAAGCAAACATAATTTCGACCCGTCGTCACCCCAACCCAGCACTCTCCCCCTCGCAATTGACAACGGGGTCACCTCAGATCTCCCCCATTGCGGCACTACACTAAAAAAGCGACGGGGACCTCGATCCATCCCTCCACTAAAACGAAAGATAGACTACTATCGCTGCTCTTCATTCCGGCCTAAACCCCCCCCGTTTCCCGAGACTCGTTCCAAGACCTGGCTGGTTGAGCCTGGAGCTTCTTCCGCTTGTCCCCGCTTCCTCCAAAGTCCTCGCTCGTGTCTTTCAGTAGTCTGCTAGTGCTCACCATTCTCCGGCTCTGTCCTTCTCATCTTTCACGTCCACGAAACTCCAGGAAACTCGAGTCGAATCGACCACAACAGCAACAACGACGACGACGACCACACCACCACCAGCTGCCGTCCACCACACTCAACCGAGTTTCGCAAGTTTCACATCCTCGCTCGCCAATCGCGTCTCACCGCATTCCGCCATCGATACCAAATAACATTTGTTAGTCGCATACGATAGGCCCCAAGATCCAGGGTCCAGATTTCGTGTGTGTTCACGAAGCGCGCAAAGTCAACCGCCACCTCAGACAAATCGACAACCGTACCCGCCAGTCCACCGCGGTGGTCTCGACCAACGGTCATCCTCAACTTTTGATCCGACCTCGCCATTCGCTGCGGCCAGTCCGTACCGTGCGTGACGTAGACAAACAGAAAAGAGGATTTCAGCCAGCACACTCCACACACCCGAATTTGCGTGTTCAGGAACGAAGAGACGGAATATCGCCGCTTCGAACCCGAAAGAACAAAGAGACCAACCTCGGGCCGTCTGCCGTTCCAAAACTTCTTCGTGCGCTGCTGCTTGGACTCGACTAGTGCCAAGACCTGAAACCCGAATAATCATTAATCTTGGGTTCCCACTTGGCGACTTGTGACAGACCCACCAAGCCAAGCACACCACCAGGCACACGCAACACTTCCAACTACCAGCAGCCCTCTCAGCTGTCCCCGGCATGGACTGTGTCGCCTGAATATCCTGTTCGATCTTTTATCTACTTTGAAAAGAAGGGTACCTAGTCAGCCGCGTTTGTCATCGCATCTAGAGCAGCTGTCGGCAGGGCGGGATGGGAAACAGCCAGGGAAAGCCCGTCGATCTTGACGGCGAAGGTAAGACAATTTTCTCCTTTGGGCTGAAATGGCCAGATGATCTCAGGTTGCAATGCTGACTGAACGTATGTCGTAGTGAACCTGAATCACTTCCGTCTCCTGCGAGTAGTCGGTCGAGGTGCCTTTGGCAAGGTGCGCATTGTCGAGCGAAAAGATACCGGTCTGACATTCGCCTTAAAATACATTAGAAAAGATGAAGGTAGGTCTTGTACGACTTTTCGAGTATCCCAAGGCACAATGGCTGACCCTCCCTAGTTGTACGGTCCGAGAGCGTCAGAAATATCATTCGAGAACGGCGAATGCTCGAACATGTCAACCACCCCTTTATCTGCAACTTGCGATACAGCTTTCAGGATATCGAGTACATGTATGTGGCCACCAAGCTCGACATTGGCGGAAAAATCAGCTGACAGTGGACCAGGTACTTGGTTGTTGACCTCATGAGCGGCGGTGATTTACGTTTCCACATCTCGAGAAAGACCTTTACCGAAGCGGCGGTAAGGTTTTGGATTGCAGAGCTCGGCTGTGCCTTGCGCTACATCCACGGGCAAAACATCATCCACAGAGACGTCAAGCCCGACAACGTGCTTCTCGATGCTGATGGCCATGTCCATTTGACTGACTTTGTGAGTTCCAAACCCTGGGCCCCTATTTTTGTGTAACCAGGCTAATTATATACGCTATCAGAATGTTGCTTCGGACATTGTGCCGGGAAGGACATTGACGAGCAAGTCCGGTACCTTGGCATACCTTGCCCCAGAAGTCTATGCTGGTAAGGGCTACGATGTCCGTGCTGATTGGTGGTCGTTGGGTGTTTTGTTCTACGAGTGCATCTATAACAAGGTACGTACCGTCAGAGTTCTGGGGATGGCAGACTACATTGTCTTGCTGCGCTCTCTCATTTGACAAGACAAGCCATGCTGACCGACTCTACCATCAGAGGCCATTCGAGGGCAACTCCGAACAGTCACTCAGCCAGACTATCCAAGCCGCCAACCCCAGATTCCCCGTAACACAGCCTCCAGTTCAGTTGAGCTGTATGTACGCCATAAAGGACGCTTTGGAGTTCAACCCAGATAAGCGTCTGGGTCACACCTGGGAGAGCTTCATCTACCACGAGTTCTTCTCTGGCATCGACTTTGACGCCCTAGAGAGGAAGCAGGTAGAGCCCGTGTTCGTCCCGTCATCGGAGAAGACAAACTTTGATGCCACATACGATTTGGAGGAACTTTTACTGGAAGAAGCACCATTAGAAGCTCGTGCAAGAAGGCAGAAGCCGCGCGAGAAGCTAAAGGATGACGCCACAGAGAAGGAGATCCGTGAAGAGGAACTCTACCGGATGATTGAGACCGACTTCCGTCCCTTCGATTACACATTAGCTGCCTACAAGAAGTATGTCCGACATTCTTTGCACTACGATCACCATGCTAACAAACCCCAGAATTACCGAAGGACAAGCCGAGACACCCGACGGCCAGCCTACCCCCGTGACAGACGAAAACACCCGCCCGGCACAAGCCCTTACAACAGACGAAGCGACACAGATGACCTCGCACGCGCCGTCGCACGCGCATTCGCACTCACAAGCGGTGCAAACCCACCACCCCAACGGCAGCCACTCCTCTTTCCAACACTCCAACGCCCCCAACGGGCAAGTGGCTCACAACCCAAACATACCCGAGCGAAGCAACTCGATGCCCAAAAGCTCTGAACGAAACGTTCCTGAGAGAAGCAACTCGATGCCAAAGAACACCGAACGAAACGTCCCCGAACGAAGCAACTCGATTCCCAAGAACCCCGAACGAAGCAACTCGATTCAAAGCGCCCACTCACATTCCCATGGCTACAACGCCTACGACTCGCAACGGGCCGCCGTCGGTCCCCGACCTACCAGTTCGCACCGCCCAGGCCGCAGCGGCGGCGTCCCGGCTAGCCGTCCTCCACCATTACCTCCTTACCCGCAGTCATACACCACCCCGGTTCGTCAGGGCCGGGGCAACGGATCGTCGTCGTTGATGGTGGGGAGTCCGACGGGGGGTGTGCAGGTTACGCTGGATGGAGGGGGTAGCTGGAGCGATTTGGCGAGACAGGATGCCACGCTGCCGACGGATGCGGCGGCCGCACTCGGTGGGGGCGCTGGTGGGAAAGACAGTGGAGGTGGAGGCATTTTTGGATTGTTCAGAGGAAAGAAGGGGAGGGGGAGCAGTCCCAAACCGAAAGAGAGGGGAGTGCTGGGTAAGGAAGGGGCTAGGGTTGTTGTTGGTTAAATAAATGGGGGAGGGTAGAGAAGAGACGAATGGAAAATGAAGGAGGAGGATATCACGGCCATATATAACGAAACTACAAGGGAGGACCTTCTACAACAACAAGAAGAAGACTAGGAGGAGAATATCTCAGGGGTATCATTGGGTGCATACATCATCGTCTTTCCACATTTGTCCATGTCATACATATCATCATCATCATCATCATCATCCATCAGCGCCATGTTGAAGGGAGTTGGCTCATTGGGAAGAGTTGGTTCACGGGCGCAAACGGGAGGGTGGGGTTGGTGTTGGTTGGGGGGTTTTTAGAAATGAGGCATCAGAGAAAGCCGTCACAAGTGTTTTGTCGAAACAAGGTATAATTGAATCCATAAAAGATACTGGAACTTTGTTTCGAGCTGCCCTGTTCTTTTTGTTTTAATCTGTGTTGAAGATTTATGCTGTGGTAATTGTGTTTGGATTTTACTTATCCGTTTAGGTACTTTGTTTTTTTTGCGTTGTCTTGGTTCGTTGTTTGCAAGATCTCCTCTTTCTCGATACCCACCCACCTAGATAAAGAATAATGTTATTGAAATACTCTTGATATCTAGGTTTCTTGTATAAGTACGGTTAGTTCTCAACTGGGACCCCTCGAGGGGCAACTCGCCGTCGGAATTCTTTATCTTCACATTTTGTGATTGATCTGTCTTGACTCTTCTTGACCTACATCCGCTAGTCACAGAGGTACGTATGTACCTATCAACTGGGTATTGTACCCGTGAGGTGTCGAGCAGGAAGAATGTACAAGTGGCTCGTGCTTTACTTGGAATATGGGTTTAGTTATAAATCTATCTTAGTTCACTAGTCTAGGTGGTCGGCACTGACCCGACCGACCAACCTCATGGAAGTTTGGATGAACCATGCGCCCATGCGACCATGCGTTCTGCCAATTGACAACAAGATAATAACCAGGGTACCTACCTAGCCAATAACAGCAACCCGCAAAGCTATCCCAAAGCGAAAGACCGAGTGATGGGAGGCATGGCATGGAAGGCCGTACCTACCTACCTACCTACCTACCCTCCTACCGTGCCAAAAGTGGACCAGATCTTCAATACATACTTTATGGCTTCGCTCCGTTGCTTCGATGCGTGGCTTTGGTGCGTGCCTGGCTTTGCTTCTTGTGGTGTAATGGTGGGCTTGTGTCACACTCCCTGTTGTGTGACACCAGCACGTTGTGATGGGCAATGAGGACGGTGAGCACGATGGAACAGCCACCAGCCTTGACGATTATGCTTGTCGTGTTGTGTCGGAGTGTCAGGCACCGAGAAGCAGGACTGGCAGGCACCAAGAAGGCTGGCTGGGCTAAGGTGCCGTGGTGGTGATAGTGATGGCTGGTGGCTGAGGGTCCATTCGATGGTTTGCTGAAAGGTGCCTCCCTGGAAAGAACGGAAACGTGCCAGTGACGATGACAATGACAGCGACAGTGAGTGATGTGACACTGCCTAGGTGCCCAACTGCCCCGCAGTGATGGTCTGCCCTGGTGGAGGCTACTTGAGGCTTTGTTTATGCTGACAGCGCTGTCTTTTGAGGCTTTTTGATCTCATTTACAGGCACGCTCACTCAGCTCAACAAGCATTCCCCATCACAAATCACATATAACCGTTGGTTCACCGTCATCTCGACACTTTTAGTGTACATAAAATCTTCAAAGTCAAATGTGGAAAGGATGGAACAACCTAACCAAGCCCTGGAAACAAGGTTTGACTCGCCTGTATGTAAGAAACCGCTAGCGGCCTTCTAGCGTGCGGGGAGAGAAGAGAGAGGATGGGTGACACTGGATGAATGGAGGGGCTTGAAGGGGTTGAGGTTGCCTGGGGTGGGGATTATGCCAAGCGTGGCGTTTACAAAAGACGTTAACGAAACGTGAATTCTGCAGAAAAAGGACGGGAGCTGTGAGGTGAAAGGGTGTTGAGAGGAAAGAAGGCTGGGTTGTGACATGAGTTGGGACAAGACTCTAGGTTGAAGAGACAGAACAGAGTGTAGGTAAAGAGAAGGAACTCAGCGTGAGGAAAAAAACTGTAGTAAGACGAGGCTCGAGACTCTTCAAAAACGAACCTCAATCCTCACTTATCACATATCTCAACCTGCTCGTTTATTGACGTCGCACCAGCTGAACAAAGTCAATCCCACCTCACTCTTCCCTCGCCAACCCACCCCTGTCTTTCCTCCTCCTGCTTTACAGTAACAGAACACCCTTCTCAAAATGAACGAACCCATAATGACTTCTACCTCTACCCAAAAAAAAAAAAGCCGACAACATGCGTCCGTCCCGGATCAGAGCCACAGGGGCTGAGGATAGCTCGATACAGGCGTGCACAGTACACAACACCAGCTAAAAGACAAAAAGAAACAGACAAAGAGACAAGAACTGAAAAGAGGCTGAGCCGTCTGCCTGCCGGGCATCCGTCTACAACATGGATCAACAACTTGACACTACAGTACGACCCTGATCATGGTCTGCATGTTGATCCCCCCCCTATACCCCTGTCACTGCCACCCTCCAGTCGACCACCTCTCAAAGCTCATTGGGTGTCGCGATGCGCCATCGAGTGTTGGAAAATCGCCTCCTGGATCCCTCATCTGGACAAGAGCCGAGACAAGGACTGGTCTGACTGGACACGCTATCAGCCTGCCTAGGCTTGGTAGTGTAGCTAAAACTCTCGGTGGCACGAAAAGGGTATACAGCTTGCAGACTGGAATGGAAGCTGGGGTTGAAGCCCAATAGCCTCGTAAGCGTAGCATGGATGGATGGATGGATGGTTCTGTTCCATTTTTGGTAGGTAGATAGATGGGTTATAAGCCATTCACATAAAAGATCCCATGGTTCCAGCTCTCTCTCTCAGTCTCATCGAGAGTTTGACGCTGGTCGTCTATGTCTGGTTTCATACAATTTCCGGGCCGTTGTTGAGCACCCCGTCCAACCTCCATCACCATGCTACCTCTCACCACCCTCTCCCTATATGTATCCCTGCTTTCACCAGCAGCAGCAGGAGTCTTGGCATCACCAAACCTACCCATCAAACTCCCAATCTCACCCGCCCAAGGACATCGTTCAAGCCCTTCACTCATAAGTCGCAACGGCAATGGCAACGGCTTCATCCGCGCCTCCGTCCACGCCGCCCACGGCGCTCCTCGCAAGCTTCGACAGAGACAGGAAGACGAAGGGCTGAAGAACCAGAACCTAGGCACGACTTATACCATTGACATTGACATCGGGACGCCTCCGCAGACTGTGACGCTCATCTTGGACACGGGGTCGCCGGATCTGTGGGTGAACCCGCAATGTGAGACTTCGGGCCAGGAGAAGTACTGCAACAGTTTCCGGCAGTTTGACTACACCAAGAGCAAGACGATTCAGGATACAGGGGCAGCGGATATTTTGAAATATGGGAAAGGGAACGTGACGATTGAGTATGTGACTGATGATGTGATTATTGGGTGTACGTACCTTTTGTCCCCCCCCTTTTTATCACCCTTTATTCCATGCCAGTAAGCTAACAACCACCAACAGCCGCCAAAATCAAATCCCAAATCCTCGGCATCGGCTTCGAATCCATCGACATCCCCCTCGGCATCCTCGGCCTCTCCCCCTCCGTCTCCCCCGACGGCCAATCTCCCTATCCCTACCTGCTCGACTCCATGGCCTCCCAGGGCATCATCTCCTCGCGCGCCTTTTCGCTCGATCTGCGCAGCATCGACAACCCTAGCGGGGCAATCATCTTTGGCGGCGTCGACCTCGGCAAGTTCTCCGGCAGCCTCGCCAAAGTGCCCATGCTCGATCCGTCCCAGACCCCCTCGGGCGTCGACCGCTACTGGATCGTCTTGTCAGGCGTAGGCATGACGTACCCCGACGGAGAGGAAGTCGAGTCCGAAGAGATTGGCGTCCCTGTTTTTCTGGACTCGGGTGGCACTTTGTCCCGGCTGCCGGAAACGATCTTCCAAGCTATTGGCGATAGTTTCCCTGGCAGTCAGTATGATAGCGAGTCAGGGTTTTATGTCGTTGATTGCGCGGTGGCGGAACAAGCTGGCTCGGTTGATTTCCTTTTTGGATCGTCTACATCAGCTAATAAAAAGATTCGGGTTCCTTATGGTGATTTCATCTGGGAACTGCAAACGGGGGTGTGTGTGGTGGGGGTCCTGCCGACGGATGACGAGCCCGTGTTTGGGGATTCGTTCCTGAGAGCGGCGTATGTGGTGTTTGATCAGGATAACCGAAACTTGCATCTGGCGCAGGCGGCAAATTGCGGAGAGCAGATTGTGGAGATTGGAAGTGGGCAAGATGCGGTGCCGTCCAGCACGGGCAAGTGTAAGGATGGTTCTGCGGGATCGACGAAGACGGCTGGGGGTGGGGGACTGGATGTTACGGCTACGAGAGCGCCGACGAGGACGGCGGGGGGGAGTGGGCCGGCTGTGACGAACTCGGACTTTGGACCGGGACCGGCGGGGACGAGGGTTAGTACGGGCGGGATTGGGTTGCCGACGGGGACTGGTGGGGGTGGAGGTTCGGAGGGTGGAAATGGAAATGATGATGATGATAGTGCGGCGAGTGGGTTGGATGTTGGGGTTACGGCTGCGGCGGTGTTGGCTGGGTTGAATATGTTGATTGTTTGGTTGCTATGATGACGGGATGTAGACGATGTTATGACTTCCTTGGGGATGGGTATTGGAAGATCGTGATTAAGCATGTTGGCGCTGGAACATACCGATATACACCGTCGATCAGTAATACTGGATGTGTGCCGATGATTCGAAGGGACCATGTGATACACTTTCCTGTTACTGAGCAGTAATGGGAATTGAACACAATCCAACTTTCGCTATGGAAGGTGAGAGTGAAGAGATGTGGAATGATGGATTGAGAGTGAAGAAGCAACCAGCTGTTTTCCTGCGTTGGAGGCAGAAAGACTGGGGAACTCTTCAAGTCAAAGTCTTCTCAACGTCACCTCCTTCTCCCACACAGCTTCGACTTTCATGGCCACAATATCGACACAAGGACTGCGACGCATCCGAGCGAAAAGCATAATGACCCGAGAGTGGAGTTGGAGACGAAGGGGACAGTGACGGTTGCCGATAAAGAGGCGAAGAGGGTGGAAATGGGAAAGGTAGGAGTTGGAAGGGTTCTCATGTTGAAGGTCATGATACCCACAAATAGACGCTTGTGAATAACGAAACATGGATAAACTCGCTGGGTTTGTCTCGGACTGGGCGTTCAACAAAAGAATCGTCAGTATGAAGAGAATGTGGTAAAAACATATTTCGAGCTAGCCAACCTGTGAATAACCAGCACTTGTCAGAGTCATCTGCTGGTTTCGCATTGATGATTGATGTGCTGATGTTGAACGAAACTCGCAACGTTTGGTATCCCTTTGAAACATTCATAACCAGAACACCATACTTGAACAAATTAATAAACCCACAAAAGGACCGGAACTCCAAAACCCATTGACCCGTTGCAACCACTTGGAATCATACTCGGACAATCAAGCACTTGCTTACGCCTTTCTCTTCTTCGCCTTCTTCGTCCCGCCATTTGACGGACCGCCCTTCCCCAACCCAGCTTGTATCCTCTGAAACTCCTCCTCATCAATCTCCGGTGGCTCCTCCGCCTTCCTCTTGCTTCCCTTCCCCTTCGGCTTAGCTCCATACTTTTCCGCCAGTTTATCAAACATATCCCCCCTACTCTGCTGTCTCGCCAGGATCAACGCAGCCAGGGCACCTTCACCATCGTCCTTCTTGCCTTTACCTCCCTTAGCCCCCGCCTTTCCCTTTGTCGCCGTCTTCGCATCTCCAGCTTTGGAACCCATAAGCTTATCATAAACTCCCAACTCCTTGGCAAATTCCTCCGCCTCTTTAGCCTCGCCCCTCGCAGCCTTTACTCGCGCCGCCCGCTTCTTCTTCGTCTCCTTGGTATAACTCGGATAAGCCTCCACCTCCCCCTTCTCTATCGCTTCATTAATCCAAGTCCTAAACCGCTCATCATCTTCCAGAACGTCGGAGAGCATCACGGTCTCGTATACCCCGTCCATGTCGCCCTCAAAATCAGTGTAAGCGGCCAGGACATCTGCTCGTTCCTCGTCGGAGTTTTTGTACGACTTGGCAAAGGCTTCGATGGTATCGGGGGAGATGGAATCGGCGAAACAGAACTTGTAGTATTCGGCCCAGTTGAAACCGTCATCGGAAGCGAGGGTTTCGGAGGTGGAGCCTGTGGTGTCGTAGAGTTGGCGGCGGGTGGGAGAGGAGAGGATGGCGTAGGCGAGGGCGATTTGTTGGAATTTGGCGGTGGCAGAGTCCTTTTGTTCGGCTGGCACCTTGTCTACATAAATGGAGATGGGGTTAGCATGCTGGTATGAGGAAGCAATAGGGGAAAGAAGGATGAGGGAAGACGCTGGTGGGAGAAGAGGAGGGGTGAGGACTGGAGGAGAAGAGGCAAAAGGGAATTGGGAATGGGGATGGAAAAGGGAAATGGAAACATACCGGGATGGTTCGTCAACGCAGACTTCCGATACGCAGTCTTGATCTGGTCGGCTGTCGCATCGCGCTCGAGACCAAGGACCTCATAAGGGTCGATGGTGGGGGGTTCTTCGACGTCGGAGAGGTCATGTTCGTCGTGGTCATCTTCGCCGGAGTCGGAAGGCGGTTTCGCGGCTTTTTTGCTGGGACGTGGCATTTTGACCTGAAGATGTACAACCAGGTTTCGAAAATACGCGGATATTCTAATTCTGACGATGCGATGCGATCGATTGTTCAGTTGGTGATTTAGGATAATCACTGCTTCTGGGGAGACGCGACGACGCGGCTTATCTTATCGGTGGAACAGGGGTCCGTGAATCTGGGGGTGGGGTCTGTGATGTCGTTGTTGTGAATGACAGACCGACAGCTGTCAGCGGCAATGACGGACCGGCCAAGATCCCCGAGGTGTTGGCAGTTCAGCGCTGCCAATTGTCCTCTCTCTTCCCTCATCATCAACCAACAGCAAGTCTCAAGATGGCGTCCTCAATCCAACCAGGAGACCACAAGGCATACATGCGCCTGGCCCTCTCCTTGGCCCAAAAGTCGCCTCCAAAACCTACCAACTACCGGGTAGGAGCCGTCGTCGTGGATGTCCCCTCCAACACCATCCTGGCGACCGGGTACACCTTGGAACTGGAGGGCAACAGCCATGCCGAGCAATGTTGTTTTATGAAACTAGCCCAACAGCATGGAGTCCCCGAAGAGCATCTGAGTGAGGTCCTGCCCTCAGACTTGGCTCTCTACACCACTGTTGAGCCGTGCTCCAAGCGCTTGAGCGGGAACTTGCCATGTGTGGAGAGAGTGCTGAAGCTGGCTGGATGTATCAAGACGGTCTATGTTGGGATTTTGGAACCTGAAAAGTTTGTTCAAGAGAACACGGGCAGGAAGTCTCTGAAGGACGCCGGCATCGAGGTTGTTCATGTCGAGGGAATGGAAAAGGAGATTTTGGACGTTGCTACAGCTGGGCACGTCAAGGAGTGAACAACACCAAAAAGACCACTATCAAGGCACGAGTTCAATTCCACCGCTACATCGCTAGCTTTTGGCTAAAACTTGGGTCCCTCGAGAATAGGCTTGGCCTCCTCAGTCCTCCACCAGCTTTTCTCACCACCAGGATACTCGAACCGATCCATGCTGTCCGCCTTCATCTCCACGGAATACCCAGGCTCGGTGGGAGTCTGATAGTACCCATCCTTGATGACAGACGGATACAAAAAGTGCTCATGAAGATGATCCACATACTCCAACACCGACTTCTTCCCGCTCACCACCACATAGTCGATCGTGCTCAAGTGCTGCGTATACTCAGGCAACCCAACACCGCCCGAATGCGGCACGATCGGCACGCCATACTTCTTCGCAATCAGCAACACCGCCAACACCTCATTGACGCCTCCCATCCGGCACGCATCAATCTGGCACACATCAATCGCCCCGCTCATCAACAGCTGCTTGAACACCACTCTGTTCTGACACATCTCGCCCGTAGCCACTCCAATCCCATACTCCTTCAGCGCCTCCCTGATCGCCTTGTGACCCAGAATATCATCCGGGCTCGTCGGCTCCTCAATGAACCACGGCTTAAACTCCTTCAGCTCCTTCATGTACTCAATCGCCTCCGGCACGCTCCAGACCTGGTTCGCATCCACCATCAGGACATTCCCCTTATCATAGCCAATCACCTCCCTCGCGATCCCCAGCCGTCTCTTATCCTGCTCAACACTACCGCCCACCTTGAGCTTGAAATGCTTGTACCCCTTCTCCATCGTCTCCCTCAACAACGCCCTCATCTTATCCTCCCCGTACCCCAACCATCCCGCACTCGTCGTGTAAGCCGGCACGGCCCTATTCGCCTCGGCGTCTTTGATCCTTTCCGTCTTGGTCTTCTCAGTCTCCTTCAACATCTCCACTGCCTCCTGGGGGGTGATGGCGTCCGTGATGTACCGGAAATCAATACACCGTACAAACTCCTCGGGCGACATTTCGGAGACGATTCGCCAAACGGGTTTGCCCAGCACCTTGGCCCATAGGTCCCAGAGGGCGTTGACGACGGCGCCGAGAGCAAGGTGGATGACGCCCTTTTCTGGACCGATCCAGCGCAGTTGCGAGTCGTTGACGAGGTGGCGCCAGGTTTGGCCCCAGTTGGCGACGAGAGAGGAGAGGGTGCGGCCGCGGATGCGGTCGGCGACGTGGTTGATGGCGGAGCAGACAATGTCGTTGCCGCGGCCAATGGTGAAGGTCTGTCAAAGAGATTGTGTTAGTTTACATGATTTTTTTTTTTCCTTTTCTTGAAGACTCCTTTTCTTGAAAGGGGAAAACATTGGGAACAAAGGGAAGAGAAAGGACGAACCATGCCATGTCCGGTATATTTGGAATCAGTCTGGAGAATGCAGTAAGCGGCCGAGTAGTCGCCGGCGGCGTTCATGGCGTCGGAACCCGTCTTGTCGAGGGAGGTGGGGAAGCGGACATCGCGGGTGGTCCAGCCCGTTATTGTGATTTCCTGGTCAGACATGTTGACTGTTCTTCGTAGGTGTGTATGAGTTGAGTATGCCTCTTGGCGAGTTGTGGTATGATGGTGAGAAATGCAAGACAGGAGCAGCTTTGTTTCACGACGACGACGACGACAACATTGAGGAATTGGGGACAAGATGTATTTCAGTCTACAGAACAATAATTCCCCCGAACCAGCGAAATACTTTCTCGGTCTCGGTTCATCATTCGCGCGGCCCAAAAGCTGCCCGTCGTCGGTCATCTTCACTACACTAAAGGCCGTTGGAGACTGGGGGTAAACTGGGGGAAAACTGGGGAAGAGGGGACAACTTGTGAGGGGCATGGTGGGGTTACTTGGGGGGATGCCTGTTAGTGCAAGACTTATTGTACCCAAAGTTAACGCGCTTTGTGTCCAGTACTCGGCTAAACTGATATTGTCGCTAATTGAGCCTTCTGATTGATGGATAAATACTGGACAGAGCTCCTCCAAGTGGGGGTCACTGGTGGTGTTCATTCTTCACCTTGGAAAGAAGCTATCAGGGGTCGCAAAGTCACCAGACATTGAAGATATCGCAGGCTTCGGATCCGAAATAGGATTCTTCCAGCAGGTCCAATATGGGGTAATGCTGCGTTTAACTCAATCAAGAGTGTGTTGGAAGGGAACCTGTGCTCCCATCTCGATTCATTGCTGAATAGACGTAAGTTAGGTATGGAGTTGAGTCGAACGAGTCAAGACTTACACGGTACCTCTACACGTGGATATCGTCATCCTCAGGAACGGCGCCATGCAACTGGCGATTATCTGCGAACACTTGGTCAGTGACCGCGTTCGGGTCGTCCAGGGGCATGACACGACAGGCTGTCAAAGCGGACGAGGTACAATAGGTATCTGTGTACACGAGTGAGATGAGTCTGTGCAAAAGACCAAATTGATACCTCTAAGCTTCGGTCTCATCAATCCAAACTTCAGTTTGCCATCACGAGCAACAATTAACAAACCCAACTTTGAATCTTGCTTTGAATGACGGGACCCAAACTCCGGAAAGTCGAAAAGATGGTAAATTTGATGCCTTGATTTTCATGTACCTAAGGATAACAGACTTGGCAACCCTCTTGCAATGGCAAAGTTTACTTAGGTCGACGGATGTTGGCCTGTTCCGATGATTTTCATGCGGCAACTGAGCTGAGCTCACAAAGTCAAAACTCAGGTCGATCTGCTGAGATCTGTTGGAAAATGTTCGCCGCTTTACTAGTGTAGGTCACTGTTGCTTGATCGCCATGGAAGTTTTCTAGAAACCTTGTGTTGTTGGATCGTCTGCTCACAGCCTCGTCTGCATCATATGAAAGGGCAGCGTGGTACAGCCGAGGAGCTAGTGGTACTACAGAAAACTAAAGTTCTACTATAATTATGTATACCATTTCCTGTACAGACTGTGGCACCTTGGAAGTGAAGACATCGCCACCATCAGAGATCGCCCAATTCACGAGGTGCCCTTTTCTTTTTTATATATCCATACCGTTGCTGGTATATAACTTTTAAACATGGTTTTCTGGAGTGGCAATGAATTACCTTCATTTGGTACAAGTAATAGCCCATTTGGACGTCAGCCCATCGCTGTTTCTTGTAGAGCCTAGCCTCCCTCCAAGCTGGCACGTTACATGCCAGCAGAGGTGGAGGCTCTGGTCTCACAATTCTGATTTCTCTGATATCTCAGACAGTTACGCATCTACCCCAAGGTACCAGACTTCAACGCCTCAAACAATGTTTCTGAACCATTCCAAGAATCTGGGGGAAGCCTCGCAACATGACCTCATTGGACAGTCATGGACAGGCACATATGTTGGGGTTAGGCTTGACACCGTCGAGATGCACTAACAATTACCTCCAACTTGGACTTTTTCTTTTTGTGGTCGAGAAACCGTTGATGAGCACGCAGCTCCACATTCAACCTCGCCCCATCGGTGTCGTCAATCAAGATGACCGTTACGATGAAGGCTCTCCCTGCTTTTTTTTACACAGTAACTGCCTCTGTTCCTGCATGAGTGGAATCGATACACGTGTACGGATCATCGATCAACTAACTACACGTACACTACCGCAAGGACCGAACCGTGAAAACCTAGCGTCAGAAAGCTTGGATGATCACGGGGACTTGGTGGAGGTCATCGAGGAACGCTTTCAAGGGTTGTCCCAGAATCAGCATCTTTTTGCGTTCTAGACTTCGACTTTACACTGGAAGCCCAGAATGGTTAACGTCCAATGACAATGCGTCACTTCCCCGGACCTTTTTCCCTGACCACCCTCTTCCCGCTCCAATGGAAGTAGTCAGGGTGCCAGCCCTGTGAGCTGAGTGAAGCCAAATCCGGTTTTGGCATGGGGGTGGGAATACGCCATAGGTCCCCCATCCACTATCAAACGAGTGACATGATGGGCGTTCCAACGTCGTCATATTTTCCAAAGAAAATCCAGCCCTCGTGATGAAGCTTCACATTCAATATGAAGTGCCCTTACTATTATTATTACCCCAGCGGTGTTGCACCCATTATCTCCTTTCATGTTGACTGACCATCACCAGAAGTCCTCTGTCTGTCTGATTGTCAAACCACCACCATACCTACAGCTCACACCATGCCAGCAATGGAACGAACAAGAGAGGCCTTCCACTTCCTGACCTGCACCAACAAGAAGGTGCCAAAAGTGAGGAGCAAACTTCGGAAACCTGTCACGAGGCAGAAACGCAAAGATGATTCGAGGAGGGTGGTATCGGACACTCACGGCAAGAGCAAGTCCTCAAAACACCGTAACACCACTGCCGACATCAGCATTACCATCACAGCAGCACCCCCACATCTGCCTCCCGTGACAGTCTCACCGGAATTCAAAGGGCCAGAATGGTTGGAATACCCATGGTCATCTTTTCCGCGGGCACAACCGGGACCTGAGGATCTCCCCGGGCCACTTCCACCCGCCGGAATCATTCCCGAGTTCTCCCACCTTGCCGTCAGCGATGCAGACCGCAGTGATTTCTTGTCCCCGGCGGCTCAAGTCTCACCAAAACGGCGCGCAAAAACACCCATCTTATTCATCGGCCAGCTGGAAAGTGCAAACATTCCTCGACCACGAAACGCCCTAGCGAACGAGGGGCGTTTCAGCGCCTCGCTACTCGCCGAAGAATATCGGGCCCTCCTCGATTCCCCCAGCTCCTCCCTGTTGGCCCCCACCTGGTCAGATCCGACTCTTATTGCCCGGGAGAGGCTGAGGAGAAAAAAAGCCAGCTCCTCACTACGAGAAGAGCAGTCACAACCAGCCATTCCGCGTAGAGGCAGCATAGCCCCTCTCAATTATCACACTGGGAACGTCAACAGCCAGAAAGTCCCCCCTCAACTATCCCTCTTTGCCCATGTGCACCCACCACCACCGACTCTCAACAGTCAAAGTCTGCAACCAGAACCATCCCTCCGATCAGACGCCGACGCCGACACCCTAGTAGCGATCGACGAAGAAGGCATTGACTTGAAGCCAGAATTTGCTCCCCCTCCTCCTCCTCGCCCCCCCTCATTCTCACACTCAAGCTCCGACTATTCCCTCCCCCCGTCCACGTCCTCATCTACGCCCACGTCTGCATCCACCCCCACCTTCACATTTACGTCCCCGTCCACTACATCCACGCCCACACCCATGTCTACGTCCGCGTGCACGTCCAGGTCGACATCCAGGTCCACGCCCGCGTCTAGATCTACATCTACATCTACCTCTACGCCCACGGCTCCGGCCACATGCACATCCACGTCCAGGACCTCGCCGACTCCCCCACCCATAGTTCAAAAAGACCTATCCCTCCAGATCTGCCTCGACCTTCTGACCAGGGACCTCTCATCGCACTTGATGCCAGGGTTAAGACGCAGACAGAAGCGCAACTCGACCAAAGGGATGGAGAATAGACTGTCGACGGAAACGGCGGCGTTGCAGGTGTGGGTGATGATTGAGGGGTATGAGAAGTTGAAGGAGGAGTTGTTGATGCGGGAGCGGCAGCGGCAGCAGCAGCTGGAGCAGGAAGGAGAAGTGAACGATGGGGAGGACTCGAAAAAGGATAGGAAGACGGCCAAGGCCATGTTGGAGACGTGGTTGAGTGCCTTGTATAAGATTTATGATGAGTTGAGTGTGGAGGCTTTTGAGGGGAGGGGTGAGGAGAATGGTGAGGGGAGTGATGAGGGGAGTGACAGTAGTTTTTCGGGGGATTATGGGGATAGGGGGTATGGGTCGGAGTAGAATGATGGGTGGAAAAGGCAGAGGATGCCCTTGGGAAGTAATGGTACCTGTTGGAATTAGGAATAATTGTGTTTTGGGGGATTCAGGTGAGTGGTCTGGAGGTTATGGATTGGATATGACTATACCCTGGAAAGACATGTAGGATGCAATGGCTAAGTTGGAAGTTTTGGAGTTTAGCTTTCGATTGTTTAGAGACTGTTCTACAGGACAACCCATTTGGTACATGTTCGTATCATGTTCATTCATATTTTCTACGTGATTAAGTTACACGACCGTTGCCTATCTTCGAACAAACCATGATGGAAAAAAGACCATCAGGGGAAAGTTTTCCTTCGATTCCAAAGGAGGCTTCGATCCTCTCCATCATCACGGCAGTACTACCGGACTCTCGCCTTGGCTACCGTTCTGTATTGTGTCAATCTCAACGCTTGTGATGATCACCATGAAGATCCGTCGAGTAAGGATTGGCTACCATTTGCTGTCGCCCGGAGCTTCCCGAGAGGATATGGTGAATGGTGATCACTGAAGGCTTTGTTTACATTCGTGGACAAATTCACTGACGTCATTGTGCCTTTCGCGACGTACCGTAAATAAGCAAACATGACACTGTATATTGCACGGTCCCCGCATCGCACTCATCAGGCAATTCCCTTCGAGGCTTCCCCGGATCTTGGCACATTCAATCTCCATTTCATCATCCTCGATCTGAATTCGCGATTCTCTCGTCGCGTGTAACTCCCACCTTAGGTAGCAAAAACAAAATGGACGACGACTTTGACGATGCCGAGCTCCTCCAAGCTCTCGCCGCCTCCGAAGCAGCAGCAGCAGCCAGACAACAACCCCAACGCCCACCAGCACCACCACCAGGTCGCGGCATCGTCCAACCCACCCCCCAACGCCTTGACAAACCACCACCCTCCAACTCCTCCTCCTCCTCCACCACCGGGCCGCGAATAGTCCAGCCCACCCCACAACCCCTCCCCGGCGCCCGCTCCTCCTCGGGCTCCTCCATCCTCGTCTCCCCGCGACAAAAAGGCAACCCGGTGCTCGCCTCCATCAAGTCCACCGCCTGGGAATACTCCGACATCCCCGCCGACTACGTCCTCGGCACCACCACCTGCGCCCTTTTTCTGTCCCTCAAATACCACCGTCTGCACCCAGAATACATCTACACGCGCATCCGCCTGCTGCAGCAAAACCGGTACAACCTGCGCATCCTGCTCACGCTCGTCGACATCCCCAACCATGAGGAGCCCCTGCGCGAGCTCTCCAAGACGTCGCTCGTCAACAACGTGACGGTCATCTTGTGCTGGTCGGCGCAGGAGGCGGCGCGCTATTTGGAGCTGTACAAGTCGTACGAGCACGCGAGCGCGAGCGCGATCAGAGGCCAGCAAAAGACGACGTATGCGGAGCAAATGGTGGAGTTTGTGACGGTGCCGAGGAGCGTGAACAAGACGGATGCGATAGCGCTGGTGAGCACGTTTGGGAGCTTGCGGAATGCGATCAATGTGGCGACGGAGGCGAATGGGGAGGAGCGGTTGGGGAACGTGCAGGGGTGGGGAGAGAAGAAGGTGAGGAGTTGGAGGAGGGCGGTGGAGGGGAGTTTTAGGGTGAAGAAGGCGGCGGCGCAGGGACGGAAGAAGGCTGCGACGGGTTCCGGTTCCGGGTCAGGAGGAACACAGTCACGGACGATGCAGACACAGACACAGACACAGACACGGCAGAAGGAAACTGGATCATCACTGGACAGGAGGGCTGGCGCTACCGGGCACGGGCACGGGCCGAGGGGGGAGGAGTACGATGAGATGGAGGCTGTTATGGCTGCTGCTGAGGAGGCGGGGTCGACGGTGGCTGCGGGCTCGAGTTCTACCAACAACAACACTCCAGCTTCTCGGAGACAAGAGGAGGAATTGGGCGGTGGGATTGCTGCTGCGTTGGCCAAACTGAGGCAGGGAGGTTGAGGAAGTGTTGAACCCTTCAGACACGTTGTCTGGGCGGACTAAAACACGCCTGTCCTACGATGAACACGTGGAGATATCGAAGAAAAGTCTCAGCTCAACGGGGTGTTTCGCTCATGTCTTGACAGACACGACGAACACAACACCACAGCTTACCCCTCACAAGAAACGTGCGGTGGTAGTTCCCTTGCGGCTCGCTGCAGGTTCCTGGACCACAAGAACATGTTCGTCTTAACACAACATCCGCGCGTGGCCAAGGATGAACAAACAGATGATAGACAACATCCTCCGTGCACGGGAACACCAGAAGCCCGTGGTTGTACGACAACCACAACCCGACACTCCTTCTAGAGTACCTAGGCATTGATGCCGAGCCACAAGTCCCAAGACTCAGTTTATTCCAGGTCCATGTTGGGACCCTTTGAAACCAAACCAGACGAATGACCACATCACGTCCAAATTACCTACCCAGACATGATTACTACAAATGTATAACCGTTGGAATTACTGTCATGCATTCATCCCATTTGCGATACTCTGTTTACGCACACTATGTGGGTAGATGGATGAGGAAACGCATTAGGCCCTGGCAGCTGGCAGCTCTGAATTCCTACCTCTATCTATGTATCATTGGAGCAAGGCAGCACAATACACGGCATCTCGTATATAGATATGCGATGCAACTATGGACGGGTCGGATGCCTTGGTTTATCTAGCTTGGGGTTGGGACTGCGAGGAATCGATACAACCCACATTCGGTCGGACCTTTCTCGTCGTGATGCTGGGTTACATTTCTCCCTCTCGGGTCGAGGAAAACAGGAATCGGAATTGGGCAAGGTACCTACCTACCTACCTTGGCCTTGTATACCTGGTATCATGAACATGAAAGGACCTCTTTCGATATCTCCTTGGTCCAGCTTCAATGTTTGTTGTTGTTGTTGCGCGTGCAGTCAGTCAGTCATTCAGTCATTCAAGTTGCATCGTACTATCAGATCTGTTGTGAGTTGGGTTCAGCTTTTACTTTTCGAAAACAATTTAAAAAATCCTCGGTCGATCTTGGTTTCCATGTCTAGAGGTAGGTAGGTAGGTACCTAGGTAGGTACCTAGGTAGGTACCTAGGTAGGTAGGTAGGTAGGTAGGTAGGTAGGTAGAGCTAACTGGACCAAACTCTTGATAATCCTCGCTTTCTCTCCTTCCATGTCCATGATGTACATAGCTGAGGTTTATTCACCACACTCCTATCCCTACCTAGGTATCTTCCAGAGTCGGTCCCCCTTTTTACTGTGATTGGAAGGGGAAAGTTACTAGTTACCGCGTTTGTTTTGTGTCTTGTGATCCCCTTGGAAAGAGAGAGAGAGAGAGGGAGAGATGCAAGCATGGGAAGGATGAAAGGAAGGAACCAAGGCCATCTTGTTACCTACCTTTTGGCAACCAGGGTACGGCGCGCCAGGGGTCGTGTAAGGGAAACCACAGCTGTGGCAAGGGTTTACTGCGCCGGACATTTTTGGTAGGTGGTTTGGGTTTGGGTTGAGATTTGGTAAGTGATGTCTGGATTTGACACGGTCACTAAGTGGTTGTGATGAAAGTTTTTGGTGTCGTGGGGTGGGAAAAAAGAAAAAAAAAAAAAAAAAAAAAGGGAAAGAAAGAGCAGAGGGAAAGTTATTCTTTTTCTTGAGGTATTTATACTATTCTATTTTTCTCTTTTTTTTCTTTTCCTCTCAGTATCTCCATCATGAGATGGGGGAAGAAGGAAGGGGGGCAGCTGAAGTCTGCGGGACTTCCTTCTAGTAGTTGCCTCACTAGTCAGTCTACAATAAGGTATGTAGTCCCTTGGGTTATTTCCAACAATCTCTTGCCCTACTAAAATGCGATACAGCTTTCGAGAGATGGAGGAGGATCAACGAGACTAACGAACTGCATCATGCGGCTGAATTCAGATTTTCGTCGTCGTTTCAACATACGTAGGTAGTGTATAGCCGTTCGGACATAGCACGAGAAAAAAAAAAAAAAAAGGAACAAATGCTGCAGTGGCCTTTTATAACTCCGGGAAAATCCACCGAGCTGAATGAGACTCATCCACCCATTCCCGGTTCATTTCCCCGCCAAAACACCCCGTAGCGTGTACCAAGTATGCACATCACTTCTTAGCTTGTGTAGATCTTTCTCCAACCTTGGAGGGCGGATGCAGGTTTTCGGTCTCCTGGCCATTGACACGAGCGTTGGTGTACCTGTAGTGCTACACTACCGAGACTACCATACCTACTTAGTATTTGAGAGGAGGTGAGAGAGGCACGGGACAATGTCCGTTGACGCTTCAATCCCAAGTTATCTACACCTTCTCACAGCTTTCAAGATATTAACCAACCAACCCTTTGTGATTCACTCAAATGAAGAGGTAGTCGAAATCCCATCTGATCCAGAACCCCCATCAAACCTCGACGGACAAGTCAAAACAACCGGCCTCAAATCCTGCCTGTAGGATACTGCATACCTAGTGGTACAGAATGCATTGCATATGTTGTCCTGCTGCATACAACACGACGATGTATATGTAGAGGTACATAGTATGCGGTGTAGGTATTCAGTGACAGGAAAGACCGGCAAGAAAGACAACTGAACCTTCCGCATTTGTAAGGCACATACATGCCTACCTACCTAGAGGTAGATACCTATCGATCCAATTGCCGACCTCCTCAATCAATCCTCCCTCACCCACTCCATTTATTGGCCGAACCAAGAAAGTGATTGACACCTCATGACATCTGGAACCATCCGATTGAACCTCCAGGAACCAGGTTATTTCTGTCTTTCTTTTGCCAGATCCAAGTTTGTGGTGCCTGGCCTGACCACTCTAAAGACCCCAACCCATGTCAATACAGAAACTGAACGAAACGTTGTTGATGAATCGCGGTGTGAATAAAGGTACACTAACCGGGGGGCCGGGGTAAAGATGGCGGGCGGGGCCTTGGCGATCTTCGGTAGTGTAGTGTAAAGAGGTATGAAGAAGGAAGGAAACCGGAGTTATATACATCATGCAATTCCCACCTCCCGCCGCCTTTCTTGCTCTTTGTGCTTGGAGTTTGTTTGAAACTGGGCACGCAGCGAGGGCACGGTTGAACCCACTCTTTCTTAGTTCATCCCCTTCAGTCGGTCTATCCTTCACCTCGGTCTCTCTTGCCTCTGCAGAGTGAGTGAGTGAGTGAGTGAGCGAGCGTGGGAAATTGCCTCTCACAGTTGGTTCCTTCAGTCGGAACACTCATTGACTCGTTATCTGGCGAGCCACGGTAAATCCCCAAGTCCGCGTTTGGACCACCGTTTGACAAAGGGGCCATTGTTTACATCCGAGCAACAACAACAACAACATTGCTCGCTAGCATCGTTACCGGTATCGTCATCGAACATCATGTATCCCAAGTTCAACAACGTTGGCCCGGCGGCCTTCTTGGTCGGCGCCTTGACCCTCACTCAAGTAGTCACTGCAACACCTTTCTCTCCGCCGCGACAAAAAAACATTGGCACTAGCGACGACTCTGCAGCAGCATCATCATCATCCCCTCAAGCCGCCTCCAACCAGGAAAGACGAGACGCCGTCAAGCAAGCCTTTCAAATCTCCTGGGACGGATACTACAAATATGCGTTTCCTCACGACTCACTGAGGCCAGTGACCAACGCTTATGAGGATGACCGGTAATTCCCCCATTCTTTTTACCCCTTCTCGGCCAACTGAACACCACACTAACACCACGGCAGAAACGGCTGGGGCGCCTCAGCAATCGACGCCTTCTCCACCGCCATCGTCATGCGCAACTGGCCCGTCATCAACCAAATCCTCGCCTACGTGCCCCAAATCGACTTCACCCGCACCTCGAGCGAGATCTCCCTCTTTGAAACCACCATCCGGTACCTAGGCGGCCTACTCTCCGCCTACGACTTATTGACCACCCCGCCTCTGTACGCCAACGCCAAAGCCGCAGACCCAGATGTCCATCTCAATTCTACTTCTTCCCAAACTGCCACCGACGCCATCCTGGCCCAAGCCATCCGCCTTGCGGACGCCCTGTCCGTGGCCTTCGACACCCCCTCGGGAATCCCGGATAACAACCTCATCTTCGACCCCGTGACAGGCCCGAAGAGGACAGGGTCGCAGACGAATGGCATCGCGACCATTGGCACGCTGGTGCTCGAGTGGACGCGACTATCGGACATAACGGGGAACAGCACCTACGCGCAGCTCGCGCAGCGGGCCGAGTCCTTTCTGCTGAATCCGCAACCTAGCGCAATCGCTGAGCCGTTTCCTGGTCTCTTGGGGACCAACGTCAATATCACCAGCGGCTTGTTCGTCGACAGCAGCGGCGGGTGGGGCGGCGGGACCGATTCGTTTTACGAGTACTTGATCAAGATGTACCTGTATGACCCGGACCGGTTCGGGTTGTATCGGGATCGCTGGATCTTGGCGGCCGATTCGTCGATTCAATACGTGGCTTCGCACCCTACTACCCGGCCGGACTTGACGTTCCTCGGCGGGTGGAAGGGACCGAGAGGGAACACCACGCTGCGGTTCTCGAGCGGACATCTGGATTGCTTTGATGGTGGTAATTTTATCCTTGGCGGATTGACTCTGTCGAATAAAAAGTATTTGGACTTTGGACTGGAACTGGTCAAGTCGTGCGCGGAGACGTACTCGGCTACAGCCACGGGGATTGGTCCCGAACTGTTTAGCTGGCAGGACAGCCGCACGCCGCTGAATGCGACGAATAATCGCGGGCCTCCCTCGGCGGAGCAAAAGGCGTTTTATGAAAAGAACGGATTCTGGATTACCAACGAGCAGTATGTCCTGCGGCCGGAGGTGATTGAGAGTATGTACTACGCGTGGCGGGCGACGAAGGATGAAAAGTACAGGGAGTGGGCGTGGGCGGCGTTTAAGGCGATCAATGCGACGACGAGGGCGGGGAGCGGGTATAGCAGCGTGGCGAATGTGAATAAGGTGGGAGGAGGGAGCAAGACGGATTTCCAGGAGAGTTTTTGGTTTGCCGAGGTGTTGAAGTATTGTTGGTTGATTTTCCAGGATGTGAGTTTTTTTTTTTTTTTTTTTTTTTTTTTTTTTTTTTTTCTTTTTCTCCCTTAGTCTCGATGTGGAGGAATCAATGATAAGAAGAAGATGCTAACGAAAAAAACAGGAGGATGACCCCTGGCAAGTCAAAGCCGACCAGACCAACGAGTTCGTCTACAACACCGAGTGTCACCCCATCAGGCTGGCAAAGGGACATGAGACTCAGCCCTCGTCTTCATCCTCGTCGTCGGATTGGGGGTATGGGTCGGCCGATGAAAGAAAGAACAACGAGCAGCAACCAAGGGGGCGTCCCGGTGTATGGAAACACGGCGATGATGGAAGCTGGAGCGACAGGAGGGAGAAGAGGTTTGCCGGGCCTAGGTATGCGTAGAGGTAATGAG